TCAAGAAGAAATATAAAGAAACCTTCGGCATAGTTAAAATTTTTGATATCCTTCGTGAAGAAATAGAAGCTACAAAACTGTTTAAAGTCATGAACCATCACAACATATACCATGTAAAACGCTTATAAAATAACTGGGGTAGAAAAGAGGGTAGAAAACGGGGTAGATATACCCTTCTACCCTAAAATATATTTTTATTGAATTCTGAGTAAAATTCTGAGTAAAATATATTTTAGGGCTTGTGTCAAACCGTTGAGTTTTCACAAAATTTAAAAAATAACGTTTACCATGTGAAACGTTTATAAAATAACTGGGGTAGAAAAGAGGGTAGAAAACGGGGTAGATATACCCTTCTACCCTAAAATATATTTTTGCTGAAAAAAATGACCAAATTTCATGAATTTCCTTAAGATAGAAAATAAAAGTTAGTTTTTTTAAAATATTTTTTTTTATTTTGTATGTAAGAACAGGATATGTTAAACACTGAGTTTGAAACAGTTAAAAAGATAGACAATGAGACCAAAGTGGTTAGAATTGGTGATTTAAACGTAAGATACTCAAAGAAATACAAGAAATATTCTTTGTCAGACATTTTAACACTATCTGAAAAGAAAACATCCCACGACTGGGTTAGAAATGCTTCTACTCAGAAAATTTTGACAAAAAATCCTGAGCTTATGATATCGGTAAGATTCTATGGAACAAGAACATATCTTATAGACAAAAGTCTTATACCACTAGTTTTGTTCTGGATTGACCCAGTTGTTGGATATAATTTCATAACATATGGTTCATTCGATACGGAACGTTGCTGTGAAGGCTTACTTTACATCGTTCAGAAACCGAAGGACTTCAATACAAAGAGATATAAGATAGGAAGAACATATAATATAACTAAAAGATATGACAGTATAGTCAATAGAGTTAAGGTTGCGTTTGTTAACGATATGAGAGCTGCTGAAACAGAACTGCTTGAAAAGTTTGAGAAAATGTATGGTGCTCCCACGAAAGGTAAAGAAACGTTTGAAGTAGATGAGATAGATAAAGCTATAAAATTATTTGACGAAGTTGCTGAAAAATACATGTAAAGCGTTTATTTTTGGTCTTTTATGAAAGTCAGAAAATAACGCTAATTTTATTTTTTTTTATTTTTTTATTTTGTATGTAAAGACAGATATGTCAACAACAGAGAACACAACAACAGTTATAGTCCATGAAGCTATAAATGAAGAATATGAGTGGGTTCAGTTTAACAAACAACTCCGTCTCATTCGTTCGGTCAAAGATGACATGTACCAAATGCAAAGTATTTTGACAGCATGTTTTGCTCCAGATACTAAGAAACCACAAGACTGGTTTAGGAACCAAAGCACACAAGAACTTTTGAGCGAAGCACAGCGAGACATACTTTTTTCTGAAAACAGTGAAGAACAGCGACTACGAGAAAAATCTTACTCGCCAAAACTCTATGAAAACAGTGAAGAACAGCGAGTAAGTAAAAAACCCCAGTCGCCAAAACTCTATGAAAATCGTGAAAAATTGCCAAATGGTTTGAGAGGATATTATGTTCATAGACTTCTCGTAAATAATGTGGCACAATGGGCTTCAGCTCGCTATTCATGGTATGTTTGTAAACTTCTTGACGAACTTCATAGACAAGAACGTGAAGAGATGGAAAACAAGCTTGAAGCAAAAGACAAAAGCATACAGAAAAGAATACCACGTTCGGTACCAAAAGGAAAGGAAAAGAACTATAAGTATATGATTTATACTGAAGAGATGGAAAATGAAGAAGATAAAGATATGGTTATGTTGCATTTAGTCAGAAGAAACAACAAAAGCTTTTACGACCTTGCTAAGATTTACAAATCTGACAGAAATTGGTTCTATCGCGAAAACTTACCGATTTCAATGACACCAAATGAAGATGTTAAACAGATAGTTCAAGATACTTTACCTCAAACACACTATGATATTAAAGGTTGTACAATACTTACCTTCAAAGAAGATTTGCCATTGTTAAAGGAAAAAATAACAGAGTATTTTGACAACTTCAAACAAGCAGAGTAAATTGCACTCTTTATTTTTCAAGCTTGACACCAAAGATGGCTCAGGTAGCTCTATAAGGTAAATTGTCTTGTCAAATCCTTCTGGCATTCCAAGTTCTTCCTTCCAACTGGAAAAAAATTTCCCGACAACTGGAAAAAATTTTCCCGACAACTGGAAAAAATTTTCCTGACAACTGGAAAAATTTTTCCTGTTGTTCGTCCGTAAACCATTCAAATTTTCGAAAATTGAGAACTTTTTGGTCGAACGACAGAAAAAAATTTCCCGACAACTGGAAAAAAATTTCCTGACAACTGGAAAAAAATTTCCCGACAACTGGAAAAGTTTTTCCCGACAACAGGAAAAGTTCTTCCTTCCGACAGGACACAAACGAATGTCCGACGTACCACCAACCGAGTCCATTCCAAAGCCAGAAGAACCGACAGCCCCAGCACCACAACAGACTAAGACTAAAACACTTACATTTTTACGCTTGACTTTTTACAATTTGAACTTTGTTCGCGTAGATATGAATTCTGAAAGAAGTATGAGGGTCTTGTATGACTTTGTACTTCTCCCATAGTTCATGTCTGTCAAACTTACCTGCCATGGACTCTTTCATAAGTTCCATGAAATCGTCTTCGGACAATCCGGGGAAAAGTATGATATCAGTAAGTATTCTTTTAACATCCTTACTTAAACTCTTTGCTGTCTGTACACAAATGACAACTGAGATGTTAAAGTGTCTGAGCTTCTTAAGAATTCGACACATATCTTGTTCTCTGTTCTTTAACAAAGGATGAGAAGCAAAGTCATCTAAGATAAGAAGACATCTATGAGGGTACGTTTTCCAATCGTAAGATTGCAATTTCTTCGAAATGTATTCTATCTCTTTCTGTTTGTTTCTGAAGTGTTTCTTCTCTAATATTCTCTGCATTTCCTCATTTGGGTCTTTAAACTTCGAATTTATATACTCATTTATAGCATTGTACTTCAAAACTCTTCTTTGGTACTTCTTTATCCAATCTAACAACTCAGAGTCTTTTATACATACTAACTTAGACTTTTTTATAATATCTTTGAACGAATTTACGGTTTGGTCAAATTGACCAGAAGTACTACAAATAACAACTAACTCATAGAATGGGTTCTTCTCATCTAGTTCTTGTTGTTGTGCAGCCATTTTAAGATAAGTGAAAGTCTTACCCGACCCAGGTGGTGCGATTAGACCTGTTATACCATTCTGAGCAAATAAGAACTTGTCATGTATGGGTTTTATCTGAGCATTTTCTAACTTCCTCTTGTTCTTGTTTAAAACATTCTCAAATTTCTTGTCAATGTCAGCAAACTTTTTTTCTAACATATTTTTAGAAAAATTAAAATTTTTATCTTTTTGAAAATGTCTAGCGATTTCGCTATCTATATTCGAGACAAACTTTTTGACAGCAAAACATCTGTCGACCATAAAATCTTACATAGTGTAAACAAGAAAGGTGAATTTGTTCTAAAGTTCTGTTTCTGGGAATATGACAAGAACCATAAAACATTAAGCAGAGAAGTCTTAAAATTTGTCAATGACAGACTTGTTGACAGAGATGACGCCTCTTGGAGAGATGAAGTCCAACAAAAGTTCTTAGAATGCAAAGAAGACACATGCGCTGTTCTTGAAGATGAAATAGGAAACAGAATAGAAGAGCTATTAAAGGACAAAGAACTTTTACATAAATATGGTTCTGAGAAATTTGACATAACTCCACCAGAAAAGAAGAAGAAGAGAGAGAAGAAAGAAAAGAAAGTAGAAGAAGAGAAGAAAGAGCCAGAGCCAGAGCCAGAGAAAAAGAAATTTGACATGTAAAAATAAAATTTTATTTTTAGAACATTTCTGGGTCAATGTCAATGTTCTCTTCCTCTTTAGGAGCAAACACTGGCTTAGACTCTAAAATCTTTTTACCTAATTTACCTTGAACTTCAACTATCTTAGACTCATAATATTCATAGTCGTCTGCTTTCTTTGGTTCATAAGGTATAACAAGTTTGTATGCTTTGCCTTCTTTAAGGTTTGAGAACCTTCTGTCAAAATTTTCTTTGACTGCTAACAAACCTTCTATGTCTAAGTCTTCAAATTTCGCACCATTTTTAGTCACAATAGCAAACTTAACTGGTTCGATGTTCCAAACTTTGTCAAATGTAGACTTTTCAAAATGGTAGAAGTAAACATTCAAATATATGAATGGGTCTAGTTCTTCTTTGACTTCTGTCATATATTTGTTGACTGAAATATATTTCGTCATCTTTTCTATCGGATAAAAAAATATTTTTTTTTAAAAACGTTTTAAAATGGTATGCCATATAGCTTCTTGAATTTGTTAAGAAGTATTTTAACGTATTTTCCATCTGTATCTCTAGCGTTTACATAAGCATAGCCCGCCTTAGTAAAATATACTTGTAATTTCCTATAGTTAACGCCGGTATAAAAGTAGAAAGAGTCCTGTTCTTCGCTATAGTAGTAAAACTCAAACGTATGCTTGCCATAGTCTGTAATTTCAATTGCTTCATCTTCTAGTTCGTCGACAAATTCGAATACAATATCTCCAAATTTGCCTTTGTTCTTACTGTTTTCAGAACGAGTGACCCAACGCAAGTTTTCAAGTCTATTGTCGTTTCTTATATGGTTTATATGGTCTACAAAAGGTAAATTGTTAGGGTTCGGTATAAAATGAGTTGCAATGACAACATGTTTTAAATAGTTTTTCCCACCCATACTCATCCTAGCATATCCGTTATTTTGCTCCCATTCGCTTAAAACTCTTTTTGTCTTTTTGTTTCTGACTTCAAATGACTCACAACAGTGAATTTCATATTTCTCATCTAACAAACAAGTTTCCCAACGGTCCTTTCCAACAAACTCAGCGTACATTTCAAATAAAATAAAAATATATATATTTTTTTTAAATTTACTCAGAAAAATTTTTCTTTGTATATACGCCGTTCTGTATGTCTAAAAGATTTTTGACATTTGCCAAGAATGTTCGTTTAGACGCTGCCATATAACCATACTCTTGACAATACTGTTTATATGAATCGTACAATGACCTTTCATCTAAACACTCAAAGTTAGTCTCATCTATAAACAGTTCATATACACTCTTGTTTGCTTCTAACAATGTTTGTCTCTCTTCGGTATATGGAATTTGTCTTGGATTGAACTTAGAAATATCTAATGTCATGAAATATGAGAACAAGTGGTTGTAAAAGTTAGGTGTCAAAGTTTCTGCTAAGTCGTCAAAATATTCTGTATCTTGCATATGAGAATCTGACGTTCTGACAACTACATATCTTCTGTCAGAACTTTCTAACTTCATCGGAACGGCGTTGTTTGAAACCATAATGAAATTTGCAACATTTTCACAAACTCTTTGGTCTTTATATTTTCTTTCAACAACTCCAACTTTGTCTGTTATAAGACTCTTCAAAGCATCTGAGTTCAAAACTTTTGTTGTATCTATACTTTGAAGTTCGTTACATACTATAAGTTTCATATTCTCTATTGAAGAGTTAAATTTACCGCAGATGTTTTCTAAGTTTGTCATATTAGGGTTCGAATAACCTTCTAACAGTTTGCACAAGATATCTGTAAAGAATGTGTTCTTACCAGTTCCTTGTTTTCCAATTATAATGAGAGCAGTTTCATTTTTAGCACTTGGATGTTGTAAGATGTTTGCAAACCAACATAAGATATACTCATAAACCTTTTCGTTTCCATTGCATATAATTTCTTTGACATGGTCTAACCAAGCTTCTATAACATTTTCTTTCCATTCTACTTGTTCGTATTTATATCCAGTGAAGATAGAATAGAAGTTTGGAGATGGTGTATAGAACTTTATACCACGAACTGAAAAATCTTCTAACTTTGACAATAAGATATCCCAAGCATCTAACATCTTCATACCAACTTGTACGACTTTTATTTTCTTAAGTTTCTGTCTACATTCTTGTTCTGAAACTATTGTCGCTCTTGGTTTGTTAAAGACAACATCCCATTCTTTCATGACATAACATTCTGGGGCAGAGTCGACATAAATGACTAAACGTTTCAAATTCTCGACTGCTTTGTTATAGTCTCTAAATGGACACATATTTCTGAAGGCTTGGAAGTCATAAAAATCTGAAACGTCTATTCTGTACATTTTTATAAAAATAAAAAAAATATTTTTTATTCTTGACTTTGTTGTTGCATTTGTTCCATTTGTTCCATTTGTTGTTCTTGAGCTATTTGTTGTTGAAGTTGTTCTTGTAGTACAATACTTTCACCAGTTGCATCTTCCAATTCGAAACTTTCTGCCGTCATTGACAAATACATAGGACATAAAAGTTTTACAGGAACAAAGTTTGCGTCGACTAAGGTTAAGTTTATGTTTGCTAAAGTGTTTGAGTTTACTAAAGCTGAAAACTCTGCATTCGAATGAACAATAGGCAAACCAGCAGAGAAAGTGTTGTTTATACGCATGAGTATCTTTTGGTCATAGTAGTTTCTGTCGACATTCGAATAGCACTTTGAACCTAAGTTTGAAACAATATATAAAATAGGTGTACTTAAAGTCAATGGAACAGACATTCCTTGTATGACACCTTTTCCTGTTATAGGAAACTGTTGGTAGTAAAAACCAGATATAAGTTTTGTATTATAGCTCATATCGTTTATACTAAACTCAGTCGGACATCCAAACATAATGAAACCTGCTCTAGTTGCAGCACATGTTACATCCGTCCTTAAAGTATTAAATAAGTCAACAAAACCTGTTGGTGGTATATCTGAGTAAGTATCTTCAAAGAAGTATTTTTTACCATTCACAACAACAAAGTCTTCTGGTGTCAAAAGAGCAAAACAGGCTTTAGTCGTCATCGTGTTTAAGGTCAGTTTACAATATCGTCCTTGAGGACTTTGTAAGTTTGTTGTTATAGAATTATATGACTCAGGTTTTTAGTCGTAATAGTATAAACCACTATGTCTTCTGCCATTTACTTAGCAACTAAATTTTAATGAAATGTTGTGGTCGTCAAATATTTTTATGACGTCTGGGAAACTATATTTTAAGTTCAACGTTTCACCTCCTTTCATAACGTATATCTTGTCAATGACATTATATGAAACACCACAGCAAGCAATGTCGGGTTCTATTTCTTTGATGTTTATATCGTCTGCCTCTGTCAAAAGTTTCAATAGTTCTTTCAAAACTTCATGAGGTGCAATGACATATGAGTTCACTTTTACAGGGTTGTGTTCGACCAAGTTTAACATTATACCTAAAGCTTGACAAATCTTCTCCTGAGTTTTAAGTTTGTCTTTAAGTTGTTGGTAGTCGTTTCGAATATCTGCAACAGAACTTAAGTCTCTGCTAACTTCAGGATATGTTGGTTGTTCTTTTACAGGAACTATTGTTATACCATCTTCGTCTTCGTATGGTTTCCCCACTTCAACATCTCTTTCTTTGACATTGACAACAACACTTTGACTGTTTGTTTGAGTTGGTGAATTTAACTTCACATCTGCCACCGCCATTAAACCTTTTGAAACACTCACGCTTCTATTTTTCGGAAATGACATTTTACTTAGAATAAAAAGATGGACGTATTCGAGTATCTCTTCGAATTGAAGCAAAACAAAGTTTACACACACAAACAATACAAGTTCATTGACAGAGTAGTTCTTTACACAAACAATGGAAAATGTTATAGAATAGCAGTCTTTGCTGAACCAAAATATTTTCATAAAGCAAAGAAAGTTGGTATAACCGAGATGGTGAAAGTTCTTGAAGCAGACAAAAATATAACAACAAAACTGACCGATATTTCTAAAGGAAAGTTTATAATACAATATTATATCAAAACTGGCGTACTGTCAATATTTGACGGAGAGAAGTCAGTTCAAGAACAACTTACTGACCTGCTGCCAAAATCTGCTCGATGGAAGCTGTCGTTATACCAATCTGAGGAGCCCCAGCAGGTTTCATCGAACGAATCTTCAAAAGAGCATCTTCCGTGAAAAGTGCTATTGGTTTTGTAAACTTCTTTGCTTTCAATTCATTTGGACCGTCTCTGTCACCAGTATATTGTATTTGAACTGTACCAACAGTTGAAATACCACCCATAAAGTCTTCTGAGTCAGCAAATGGAATGCCAAGCCAAAAGTTTGAACGGTCTCCATTTGTATATTGAGTGTTTTGAGCTCCTGTATGGGTCCATACTTTCACATATGGCATAATAGAACTTTGCATTTCAGGGTTTAATGGTTGTTGTGAAGTTGTTGTTAAAGTTCATAGCATCTAATGTCAAGTTGTATGACCTCATATCCTCAACTGTAGAATATTCTTCTCTTGGATAGTATTTGCCATCTATGTTTATATGATATTTAATACCGGGTTGTAGAAACAAGAATAGTCATTTATAGTTCGTCTGAACAGTACAAACATAGTATCTGCATGTTTCATTGCAGTTGTTAAAGCAATATCTGTTCTTGCACCTGGGTCAGCACTTTTGGTTTCCAACTTCACCTGCAAAGTCTTTGACAGATATTTGGTGTATAGGGAACATAAGCGGAACTGCAATATATTTGGCAGCTAAAGCATTTGAAATATCTGGGTCCAACATATAGACTGCAAGTCTGCTTTCTATTCTCTTGCATTCAAATTTTTCGCATGTGAACTTAACTGGGTCCCAAGCAGTTCCAGCAGCATTGAAGTAGTAGTTTACTTCAGTGTTGAGGTTTGAGAAACCAAAGTCTAAGTCAACTTTGTCTTTGCAAAATTCGGCGAATGACGTTTGATTTGCTCCCTTTACGTCTGTAAGAGTGAATGGGTCTTGTGTTGGTGCAATGACTAAGTTATTTTTGCTTGGAGTAAGTTCGATAGAAATTTTTCCTGCCCAGTTTGGCAAGTATCTTAAAAACCTGAAGATGAGGAAAGATGACAAAGGAACTCTAAGTTTCAATTTTACTTTGGTTACTGCTGCTGCATTTTGTCCAGAAAGGTTAACATAAACTCCTGGAACGTTAGGGTCAAGTCTTCTTATTTTCTCAATAGTTGCATACTGGTCTGTTTGTTCTCTAGCTTGTGGTTGTACTGAGTTTCTCAAAGCGAACCATTCATAGTTTGCCCATGTTACTGTTTGAACTAAGTCAGAGTTAGAATATATCTTATATCCCATGAAAACTTCTGGAGCATATTGGTATCCGACATAGAAAATTCCATTGCAACCTTTCTTGTCAGACAACTTGGCAGAAGGTTTTATTTCAATGTCTTGTTCCACGTATAAGAAAGAGTTGTCAATAGAAATTATATGAAACCTGTCGCAAGCAATATCTACTGTTGTTGAAGAACCTTCTCCAAACTCACCTACGTTTCCATAAGAAACAGCAGTTGTATATTCGTAAGTTCCAGGAACTATTTCTGACCTTCTAATGGCATTGTCGCATTCGTTATACCATTCGGAAACATTTCCATTCATGGCATCCAAAACTGTTGGCGTTATATTCTGAGCGGCGTACATTTCATATGAGTAAAAATATAGAATAGTTGGATTTATATGTCATAATAGAACCCACTCCGACCAAGCTTTACTTTCTTCCTGACTGAGTTTTTAACTCTTCTTTTTCCTTCATTGCCCTCTGCTTGAAGTTGTTGCATCTTTGCATTATGTTCATCTAGTATGTTGCAAATTTTCCATGTCCTTTTTGCCTTTTGCTCTGGTCGCCCATCTCAGGTAACCTATATCCTAGAAAGAGTTTGTCATAGTCTGTATTTGAGTCTTCGCGTATTGTTTGCATGACTCTTTCCTGAGTTTCCGTTCAAGCTCTTCAAACAGTGCCTGTCCATATGGAATATGCTCGTTTCCAAATATATGTTTTTTGTAGCCATTCTGGTTTTCTTTCCATGTTACCAACTATATCTTTTGTGAATGGGAAAGCTTTTACCCCAATCTTTCAGTCTTGCGTCGTTTATTTCTGTAGTTGGTTTTATTTTGTCAAGGAACATGTTTTTCAATACTAACATTTCATTTGTACTGTCCATTTGAGTTTTCTTAAATATTCATCCCTTCTCAGTTCATTGTCTGCAAAGTAAGTTTTTATGACATTTTGCAAACTTTCGTTTGCAAGGTCATGTACAATAGGTTCTCTTCCTTCGCTCTCCCTAACTTTCTCTTCTAAACTCTTCACCAAATATACCATCTCTTATGGTTCTGTGTAGTTCTTTGAGATAAATGTTCTAGAACGTCAGGTGTATATTTTCCATCAGCCATGTTCATTTCATACTGGTCCAAAATATCTGCATGTTTCATATCTTTCATGGCATTAAAGCCGCGCTTAAAATACCAGCTATATCTGGTTCACCATTGACTTCCATTGCGTCTACAACTTCTTGGAATTGTGGTTGTAAGTTTATGAACCACCTATCTGGATTAGCTTTATGACCCCATCTCATTGTAGTTCCATCGTCTTGCAGAACAAAAGTAGGTTTGTTTCCATCTTGGTTAGGTTCTGAATGAACTTTAAACAATGTTTCATTTCTATATGTTTTCTTGAAATTTAACCTTTTATCTTCACCGAGTTCATCCGAAGATTGAACGTTAATGCTCGTAAGTAAAAAGGTTGTTGTATTTGTGTACATTTTTTTTCAGTACTTCCATTCTATGCTGAATATTTTCATCTGGTGTTGGAGTCTTTTGTATGTCGGCAAACATTTTTCGATATTCTTCTACTATGTCAGCCGAATCTTTCTTAGACTCTTGGAAAGATTCCATATTCACCTCATGCTCTTGTTGAGGGTCAAGATTTTCGGCTGTTCCAAATCTTCATCTAGTTCTGTGAAGTTAGTTTCCAAAGGAGTGACTTGTTCGTTTCCTTCAGGCTCTTCTAGCTGTTGTTGCTGAACTATTTCTTCCATGTCTGGTTGTATCTGAACTTCTTCCTGTGGAGTTTCTTGTACCTCATCTGCTGGCATTTCATATATTCCGAGACCGTTTTTAAAAAGTTCCCTATCTAAGTCATCCGACTCATAAACCTTTCTTTTTTCGTTCCGTCTCTATTTTTTACGCGTTTCATGAAGAGAGTTGAATTATCATTTAGCTCTGACACCAAATATCTTGGAGTAAATTCATCATGTCATTTGGATGATATGCTATTAAATCATATCCCTTAGCGAGCTTGTATTTTCCAGGTTTGAAATTATATCCCATTTGGTGCTGAGCCATAAAGCTAAATAGGTTCGGGTCAGTATTTCCTTCCTTGAACTTTCCAATAGCTTCTTTATATCTGTCACTAAAGTCAACAGTATCTGGGTAACCATACTCTTCCTTAAGCATTTTTAAGAATTCTTGGTTTCCTTGTTCTCTACTTCTTTTATGTCCTTGCTCTGTTTGTGCTGGTTGTTGTGCTGGTTGTGGAGGTGGTTGCTGTGCTGGTTGTGTTGGTTGTTGTGTTGGTTTTGGTTGTTGTTGTGGTGCATGCCTGTGTCTATGTCCATGTGACGATGTAAATGTGTTAGGTAGTCCTGGTGCAGGTGCTTCTCTTGGAGGGTTTGGTGGTATATAAGTTCCACCAGCTGGCACATATGTTCCATCTGCAGCGTAATGTCCTACCTGACTTTTCGTTTTTAAGAAAGCATTTACTAGGTCTGTTTTGGTCTGTTGTAACTCTTTTTCTTGACTTTTCACAACAGTTGCTCTAACGGCGTCATAGGCACTTTGAACTGCCTGTCTCGTTGCTGCATCTGTTATTTTCGTCATATTTTGTGCTACTTCTCTTAACTCTTTGTCGAAACCTTCAGACTTCAGTTTCTTTCCAGATGAGAAGTCGTTCACTTGTTTCACCTTACTATGAAGAGCTTCGAAGGCGTTCTTAAAGTCAGCATTGTTAAAGCTTCATTTGAACTGTCTTCATCCGCTTGTATTTTTGTCCTTATTGACCCTATGAGTTGGGCTGCTTTAGCGTTGGCTTGGGCATCTAACCAGTCATTGTTAGCTTTTATATATTCTGCGCTTTTCATTGCCTTTTGCATGGCTGCGTCGTTATTTTTACTTTCTTGTGCTAAGTTTTCATACTGTACGGTTTGGTTTTGCAACTGTAAAAGTTTTTCTGCCTTTACATTTGCTTCAACTTCTTTTTTATACTCATCGCTATCCATATATGTCTTCAGGGCTTTTTGTTTTATTTCTTCATCTTTCAGTACTTTATATTGAGTAGTATGGTTTTTCAAATTTATAACATCTTGTTCCATTTTTGCTACTTCTGCTGCTTTTTCTGACACTTTTTTCGCATATTCCTCTGTACTTAGTTCTTTCAGTTGTTCTTCTTTCTTCTTTTTCTCTACGTTTAACTCATTGAGTTTCTTTGTGTGTCTGTCATATTCTAGTTTCTTTTCGTTTTCACTTATTTGTTTCTGTATGTCTATGTTTGACTTTTTGACATCTGTTATTTGATTTTTGAGTGAACTCAAATTCATTTGACTTTGAGGGTTATGCTGTTCCGTCTGCAGCTCCACCATAGCCTGCCATTTTCGCTAAAAGTGCCGCTCTTAAACCTCCACTCTGTGCACCAACAACTCGGTTTAAAAGCATAGGATTGCTTGACATTTGTTGCAACATAGTGGGGTCATTCAGCATTTGTTGTTGCAACTGTTGTTGTGGTGTAGTTTTACTATTGGATGTTTCAATGCTCCCTTCCTCTTACGTATATTCTTACGTAGCTTACGTGGCATTTTAAGTGAAGTTAAAAAGCGGTTTTTGACAGATGTTTATATGACACTTTTTGTTCAGCACAAAAAACTACTCGGTCAAAGTGTTGTCAGTTTTGTAAAATAACCGTCCTATCTTGTTTTAAAAGGGGGAAAGGCTTCTCAAAGTATACTTCCTTGGAACGCCTGTAACTTTTCCTGTAGCGACGATAGACCCTTACTTGTCCGGACAAAGTTATACTATTTTGAGTGCTCTACAAAAAAGTCAACGGCGACGACTCTCAAAAACCGTTGTGTAAAAAGTTTTACCGTTTGACAAAAAAGTATATATAGAAAACAAAAAACGTTTATAGTTCATTCAATATTTGAGATGGAACGGTTTTCCAACGGTAACTATTAAATAAAATAAAAATAGAGGGGTTACCGTTGACGAAAACGGTTTATTTTAAACTTTTCTATGAGTAGTCCGAAAAAAACAGTTCATTTTTGTCTAATGGCATTCGCTAGCGTGTTCGCTCCAAATTCACCTGAAGAAATTGCTTGCAAACTTTCAGCACCCACAGGTTTAGAGCCTCAATATCAAACTGCAGCATCTACACATTCTCCAAGCAGAACAGACAATTCACTCAATCCAAAGCCACTTTCACTACCAAAAACAATACCAAACGAGCTCCGTATTACAAAGAACCACAGCAACGCTGAACTACGCAAAATACTACTCAGATTGTCTGAAGAATACTTCAATTCAAAGCCAGAAGAAAGAGTTCCTGCAACTTTTAACAAAGAATATTGTGAACAACTCAACAAAGTTCTTGCAGACTTTACCAAACTACAAAAAGAAACACCTGACCCATTCGAATTAGGTGACACAATTGTCAACTATTTTCCAACAATAACAAAGATAATGGTTGACAGAACTATATGTCAGCTTATTGAAAGTCTTCCACCCAAAGCTGCAAAAAAAGTCGAACAGTTTTGGGTCGAATTCAAATTAAAGAGTTATGGATATCAGGATGACGAAGAAGAACGTGAGTACGGACAAGAAACAGCAAAATGGCAATGTCTTAGCTCACTCAACCCCAAGTTCAAACCATTATTTTACTCAGACAACAACACAATTCAAGTACGCAAAATTGCTATTCATTTCGTTAACCAAGCAGAAGACATTGAAGAAGGAGACTCTATCTCAGTTTATGTTTGCTACTGCAAATTTTTCAAGGACGAATTTGGAGGACCAATTCTCATGCATGTCTTCAAGCCACGTCAGCAACTCTACGTTGAAACTGAAATAACACTCATGCATGGAATGTATCTCAAGTTTGAAAGCCAATTGGAAAACACATACAACATTTGGCTTTCATACATTCAGTTCGATACACCAGATGACTTTGATGTTGAAGAAGAAGACTCTACTCAAGAAGATGAACCACAAGACTCAATCCAAGAAGAGTCCTCCGAATTCACACCAGAAGACTAACAATTTTCCGAATAAAAACCTCATTTTTTACTAAACATCTTCGGGGCTAGAAGGGGCGCAGCCCCTGGAAGCCCCACTGCCTTTTTTTTTTTTTTTTTTTTTTTTTAATCAAATTAAAATCGATCATATTGATATTTCACCGGGTTTGAAATTGTTTTTTCCGTGAAAAATATCATTGTATTCCAATGCAAGCTATTGAGTTTAAATAATCTCAATTTCTAAGATTTTTTCAATCGTTGTCAAAATCAAATTTACGAATGACTGAATGTCCAAATTTTTTTAGAGGAAAGAAAAATATGTTCAAAACGGACATGAAAGTCTTTGTAATTGATCAGAATGGCTACGATTTGCGTAAGGGCGTTATCAAATGTTTTGGTAATAACGCGTGGACGATATTTTACCCAGATACTAAGGAAGTTGAGGATATCATAGACTCAAATCGCGTTATACCATACAACAAAGACAACAAAGCTATTTTCAAAGAGCAAAAAATTAAGAGAAAAGAAATTAGCGAGATGAAAGACTCGATTTTAAGTAATCCGTCTATTCAGGACACAAAAACGCAGGACATATCACGCAATACTGATCTCCCTCCTAAAAAACCTTACGATATTAGCGATTTACTCAATTTAACTCATCCTCCAGTAAATCTTAACAAAAAGCCTATCGAAAATACTACACATAAATCAGATTATGTCAAAGAACCAGAAGTTGTCGATGTCAAGCACGAAATCGATAAATCTCCGCCCAAATATTCAACCGAGGCTTCATCTCCTAATGAATCTGATGTTGAGGTCCAAAAGTTGAGCAGGAAAGATGTTATAACAGTAAACATCAATTCTTTACAGCCAACTTCAATTGAATTCAACACAAATTTATCGAAGACAACTACCACTTGGACTTTTAAGATTACTTTCTAGTAAGTGGTCTAAATTTTTGTTTGTTATTATTACTTTTGATCTAATTCATAAACTATTTGATTTGCGAATCTACAATTTTTTAATTTTTTTCTGATAAAATACATCAAACCGTCCAAATTATCATGTAAAATAGTTTACATCTATAACTCAATTTGAACTCCTGAATTTATCCATAAGAATGTCGCATTCCAAAATTTCGATTACAAATTTCATGGATAAATGCCAATACAATCATATTATACTTTTAGATTTCAAGTAAATAATAGTTCTATTTATAATTAACATAAAAATAACAATAATATATTTATTCTGGAAAATAAGTTGATTTGAATATATCAAGTCGAGTGGAAAACTCATCATTATTATATGTTTCTTCCATAGTGTCAAATACATCATCCAATCCTTGATCTATGAATAAATTTTTGACTTCTTCCAGGACATTATTTTTCTCTGCTAATCCAAACACATATTCAATGCATTTCATGCACCCATTCATAAATTCTGCGTCTTCCGAATCTCCATACTTCTCTATCCAATCAAACAAATTTAATTTGTTGGAATCAAGTAATTCATCAAGATTTAGAATACCAGTATTGACTATTGATATTATTACTGGTATTATCAAGCAAATTGTAGTATAATTGATCTCATCCAAGTAAATATTTAATAAATAAACCAATCGAACCAAAAAATCATGGGAAACTCCAATGTTTTCAATAACATCTTTGAGGCATATGAAAAATGGTTGTAAAACCTCTTTGCCAGATATTCTCTTCTCTAATAATTCTAAAAATATTTTCGTATCAAGTAATCTTGGATCCAAATTATGCTTAAACATATAATACAGGAGTACTATAGATGCTCTCACTGCATAAGCAAATGGAGATTTGCAATATTCGTAAAGATCTCCCATAAATTTTGGAGTTGCTGTTCTTGGCATAACAAGTTCTGGATATTTCTGGACAGAATCGATTAATACCCATAGAAGATAAGAATCTCCATAAGGATATTTTTTATTTAAGAAAGCATGAGATTCAAATGTATAATTTAGCAAATATTTAACAAAGTATTCGTTATCGAGTGTTCGCCGTGATACTAAATAGTATAAGAGACCATATTGAAATAAAAATTCAGATGCAGAATCAACAACCACAGTATCTTCGTCTTCCTTTTTTTTCTTATTTTCTTCTTCTCGTTCTTCGAGATTTTTCAACAATTCTACTGTATAATTGAATAGCTGTTCAAGGTTCATGATGTCGAATATGTACAGTTCAATATTTGGATATTTATTGTTAAGAAGCGAATTTAAAAGTCGTAGTGCAATTTCAGCGAACGTAACAGTTTGCATTGATAACAGATGTGAAATTCTTTCCTTAAAATCGAATGAATCTAAGAAATCTTCGAAGTTTTCAATGGATTGATACTCAAATATATAAGATATCGTCTTGGTTGCTTCGTCTTGAACTTCTTTCATACTTTTGTATTCATTGGCGTTCTCTTTAGAGTTTGTTAATGGTAAAGTCATATAATAAAATAAAATATTCATAATATCGTATTTCTCGAATAATTCATAATCCAATTCCACCTCGGGATTGTCTTGTAATTTCAATTTCAATCGTCTTATGCTGTCTCTAACACGCGGTCTGTCGGAATTTGAATGGCCTTGTGTTATTTCAATGAATTCGTTGATTAAAAACTTATCAATTCGTGATTTAAACGTTTCTATAGGAGGACCATCATCTATTATATTACTTTCACTTGAATCAGGCTTATAAACATTCATAAACTTTCTCTAAAATTTTTTTTTTGCTTACAAATAAAAAAAGTTTTATAAATCAGACATCTGGTAATATATCAGGATATTCTATAATATTAGGTCCTCTATGAGGTAACTCTTCATCAGTGAAACCTAATTCTTTGAGGAGTTTTCTATTCTCCTGATAATCAAAGGTAAAATTCAGGATTTGGTGCATTCTTGGCATTCCTTCATTCTTTTCATATTTGGATGTCAAGTAGTACTGAACAGTTTCACCATTTTTGTCCTTCAATAAAGGATTGGCTCCAAAAATGGATAAAAGAGCCGCACATTCAACAGAATCGTTCTTAACAGCGATATGAAGTGCTGATAAGCCTGTAACTGTGTGTTGGAAGTCGATATTAGCTCCAGCTTTTAATAATAAATAAGTTGACCTCCAGCATTTGTTTTCCACAGCTTGGAGCAATACAGTTGAGCCTTTGTAGTCAACACTATTTGCATTTGCCTTGTGTTCCAATAAAAGTTCGACGATATCAAAATAATCTTTTCCTGCAGCGCTCATCAATGGTTGTCTGCCTCTTTCGAAGTCAACCAATGCTCCACGCTCTATAAGTACTCTAGAACATTCGTAGTTATTCCATCCTGCCGACCAATTCAAAGGTTTACTGCGATTCGTCGCTGGTTGCTCTACAATCGGATCTTTATCATTCCTGCGGCTATTTAATATTAATAATGCGCATGAATTACTATTCGCTTGAAGCGCGCGATGTAATGGTTTCGTATAACTAATATTTACTGGATCATCTGACTTTGGATAGTCAATACTATCTGGATATTTCTCAATAATGCGCTTTGCCACTCTAACATTGTTAGAAAGGCATGCAATACTCAAAATTTTATCATCAAATTTTTCTAATTTGTCGAAAAACATCTCAAAATACCTGTATCTGTGCATTTTGATTGCATAATGCATGATTTTGCTATCAAGATCAATATTTTCTTGTTTCTTTTGGATTTGTTTATTTGGAATCAAATCTGCACAAGATATCTTTCTTTTTCTAGCTGGAGGTGGTTCTGTAGATGATTTTTGATCTTTTTCTGGTACTTTTTCTGGTTTTTCTTCAGGAATTTTGGATTTTTTCTTATATATTTCATAAAGTTCTTGGAAAATTTCATCATTTCCTCCTTCGATTGATAGTTTTACTGTTATATGGTCAATATTTGTAGTTTTCATTTTCAAATAGTCAAAGCATTTCTTTGAACCTAATTTTGCTGCCAAAGCAAGATAAGTTATGTTCAAAGGAGTCGTGTCAACTGATAGACGCTTTGGATGATTATATGCATTTTTAATTTGAACTTGATTAAAATTAATTTCATTTCCTAGTTTTTTGAGATTTTCGTCATCATCTTTATAGATATAATATGGTATAGAGTTGATTTCGTATCCACTCTCTTTGTCAAACCTTTTGCTATCAAAAGATTTCGCAGGATTTGATTTTAATTGAATAATTAAAGGATCAAATGTATTTTCGCTTTTATTTTTGAGCATTTCACTTAATGTAAGTATAAGTCTTGGCATGTAAAGACCTTGTAAACATACTTCAAAAAGCAATGGATACTGAATTTGAAGATCGTAATGTTCGGGATGAGTTCTTTTCCATTTTTCATGTATTTCAAGATTGGTATTATTGCTGTCCAAGTAATTTTTATACTTTTCATCTAATTCAATTAATAATTTTGCAAAAAGATCGTTTTTTTGTGGAAAACGTTCAACAAGTGTAACAAACTCTGAAGTGAACATTGCCATTGCAAAGTTATAAGGGAAATAATTAGTTGAGACCAAATCAACTAGTTGATTATAATTATTTTCGGATAATTCTTCAATCATCTGCTGAAATTGGCAATCTAAATCCACCAAATTATCATTAACGTCTAATCTACTTGGCGGTGCAGAAGGATGTAGCATCGATTTGTTTTGAAATGTATTAAAAAAAATGCCAACATGAACCAGAAAAGATCAGATATATCATTTATTGCTATGCCGAAAATTTTGCTCTTTTTAACAACAATACCACAAGTTGATTCTTTTCAGGAATAATTAGATCAAACGATCTTTTAAATTATTACATAGTACTATACATTAGATTTAAATCATTTTTGAATCGTCCGAGAGCTCCATTCTTATGATTTATAAATTTGATATTGAAAAACATTTATGAAGCAGTTATTATTAGAACCAAACAAATACATATTTCCTGTAATTTATAAATAAACAAGAAAATAAGTCCGTACTAATAAAATGATTTCAAATAATTTTAAAAATCCATAAATCGCCAATATTTTGCTCTAAAACGGAATTAAATGCTTGTTACAGTCATATCAATAAAAGAAATATTCGAAAAAGTCATATTGGGAGAATTTTGTCAAAAGAAGTCATTCAGTCTAAAAATATTTCTATCTTATCACATTATAAATGAAAAAGATAAAGCGTTACATAAGCTTTAATTTTTAGTCTCTACACTATTTCAATATAAGCTCCATTTTTAAACAGTTTTTAAAAATCGAGCATTGAAAAGTGTGATGAGACTTCATTATTTCAATTGAATTACATAAACCATTTTATCGGATTGTAAATAGAACAAAGTATACCAAACACAATTTTGCTACTCTTGTTAATCTTGAATTGGGAATCAAAAAGTGAAGAATTCCTTTCAAAATTTTCTCATGAGTATTACAATGATTTTGTTCATTATTTTGTTATAAGTTATCTAAGAATATGTTATCAAATTAAATGTGAAGTCATTGAATTTTCATAACAACGTCTTAAAAAAATAATCATAAACATATGGTATACAATGTAATAATACGCAAAACTTTATTGAGTGAGGAAATCGTCTATGAATTGTCATCTTTGCGGATTTCAATTCTAAAATAGATATGGAAACTAATATCCCATTCATTTTTCAACCTTAATCCTAAATGAAATGAACAATGAAAAATAAAATAAATAAATTTATATAAATTCGAATGAGTAAGAAAAAGGGACAGCCACATATATTTGAAAATCCAATATATCAGCAAATCCCTTTCCAATCATTCATTCCATTACCTAAGATTCCAAAGAAAATTCCTACAGATGCTGAAGTAGATGAGAAATTTAACGAAATGCTTAATGATTTAGATACTCGCAAAGAACGTAGAGAATTATTTTTATCTATGCCTATTCAGAAGAAATGGGAGATTTATGTAGACCAAGCTGTTCAAGATTCACAAACAGCATCTCCTGAATACTTATTCCAATGCTTGCAACTTTTGCCTTCTGCTGAAGTTTTGCAATACATTGCGAAATATGTAACAAAAGGGCGTGTTTCCTTCATTGAGCGCTTAATGAATTTAGCAATTCACAAACATCTTTTATCTTTACTTTCCGATATATCAAAAGCATATTCAATTCATCCAGATTTGCCAGCTAATGAAGTCCGTTCTGGAATTCTTGCTTGCCTGAGAAATCTAGCAAATACAAAAAGAGGTAGCAATGCTGTTCTTGCCATTTCGGATGTAATTCCCATTGTTGTATCATCAATGAATGCTAATGTTGCAAGATCCTTTGAATATACTTTCGAAATTCTTGTTTTATTCACATTTACAGATAATCCTTCCATTGACCGTATGAATAACCTAAATACTGCTTTGGAATGCATTGAAAAGTCCAACGGCGGCTGGAAATGCATCGCTGATGAATTAGCGGTCAGACCTGCTCGTCAATTCCTTGTCTCGTTGACATCTTTCCTCAAAGCTGCTTTGCTTTTCTCATTGTCTAAGCAACACCAAACCAGAATCGCACTAGTTCTTAATATCGTCAATTCCGGAATTTATAATTCTCTCGTAAACTTTAACGCAGATCCGAAAGATCCGATCGGCGAGTTAATTCAACAGATAGCCTCAAAGGTTCAGCAAGATTTACAAGCTCTTTCGACTTATTACGCAAATAATACAATAATCAATCCATTCAGTACGAAATCAATCGTAAACTACCTCAAAGATCTTACAGAACCATCGTACTTATTCAGATCTTTACTTCTTTCATTAGCAGATATCTCGATGAATTATCCGAAATTTAAGAACCCTGTTTTCATTTACATTACTAATTTCATGATTATTCTTCGATTCTACCTTTCCCAGAACGATACTTCGAAGCTTAACTACGCAATTTCGATTGCATCGAGTATTACTCATCCAATTCAAGTTCCTTTGATTGGAAACACCTTCACGAAGAGACCACTCCACGAGAAGCTCTACGAAGACTCATATTTCGTTCCAGACAAAGAGCTCGGCAGCATTTCTTTGGCCAAATACTTAGATTCATCAATTGAATCACAAAAACCGTCGGAATCAGATGACGATGGCAAGATTTTGACGAACAAAGAAGCCAAGAAGATGTTTGAAGATGTTAGGGAGAAGCTCGAGGAACAAATAAGAACAAAGGAAGATGAGTTGAGAGCCATCAAACAGAGCTACAAGAAATTGCAAGACCAAATTGAAGAAAAAACAAAAATTGAAGGAGAAAAAGAAGAAATGAAGAAAGAAAACGAAGATCTCAAGGCCAGATTGAAGACAGCGGAATCAACAATCGTTATTCAAAAGGCTGCTGCTGAGAGCTACACATCAAGAGTCAATGATCTCCAACAGAAATTGGCTGAATACGAATCAAAACTTCAACAACAAATTTCTGCCAATGAAGAAAAAATTAAAAATCAAGAAAATGAAAAAGTGACACTTTCTCAGAAATTGAAAGAACAAGAAGAAGAGAGTAGGAAGATCATAGAAAGCTTACAATCACAAAGCAAAGACTTGCAGAAGATGAATAACGAAATGCAAGTTAATTTGCAAAATGAGATTTCAATTTTGAAGTCAAAACTCACCGAATCCAACCAGAAATACGAAACTCTCGAACAGAAGTCCTCCAACGAAAGCGACAGAACTGCTTCCGCTCTCCAAGAACTAAAGACACAAAATAAAAATTTGGAAAGTGACATTGAAAATTTGACATCCAAATTGAATGAAATCACAAAACAGAACGAAATGAAGTCAAGAGAAATCGAGAGATTGAACGCCGACATTGAACAAGAGAAGTCCAAATACAAGGAGCAGATTGACCAGAAACAGAACCAAATTGATCAACAATTTGCGATGTTAAACGATCTCAAACAACAAATTGACCAACAGAAGCAAATGAACGAAGAATTGAACATCAAGTCACAGAGATTAGTTGAAACTAAGTCTTCTGAATACTCCGATCTTTCCAAACAACTCGAGGAACTCCAGATAAGAAACAAAGAACTCGAAGAATCAAAGAAAGTTTTGCATTCTGATTTGCTTCAAAAACAACAGTCAATTAAACAGGAAAAGGAACAGGAAATCGAACAGATCACAAACCAGTTGAAGAATGTCAATATCTCTCTTGAAAACTCATTGAACGAGAAATCGCAACTCGAAGAACAATTGAAATCTAAAGAAACAAAATTCAATGAACTCAAAGAAAAATTGAATACTTCCATTGAAAATTTGAGAGAAGAAAACGAAACACTTAAAGAAGAGATCAACAAATTGCAGACAACGACAGCTGATGAGAAGACAACATTGTTACAATCATTTAATGCTGAATCAGAGCCATTGAGGCAAAAGATTAATCAACAAAACCAAATTATCACAAAATTACAAAGAGAAAACCAACAACTCCAAAACAAGATGGAAGAACAAACACAGTTGTTACTTACTGAGTTCAATAACCAGCGCCAGAATGACCAGAAAGAACACGAAATCATTGTAAAGAAGTTGAATGACGAATTACAACAAAAACAACAAATTTACAATGAAGAAAAATCGGTTTTGGAGTCAACATTCAGCCAAGAGAAGCAGAACATGTTGTTGCAATCCAAGCAACAGATAAACCAGATCATCTTGCAGAACCAAAGCGAAAAAGACCAATTAACAACAAATTACGAAAACAAGATTAAATCAATTATGGAACAAAACGAAAATGAGAAGCAAATCATCATAAACAACCATAATATCGCTCTACAAACAACATACAATAACTATCAGAGCGAAAAAGACCAACTTGTCAAGAAATTTAATGATGATAAGAATAATTACGAACAAACAATCAAAGAACTCAAACAAAAAGTTGACCGACAGGAGAACAACAACAAGAATCAAGCATATGAACTTCAAACAGCTCAAAAGGAACTTGAAAAGCAAATTAATAAATACAATCAAGTTGTCGATGAAGCAAACAATCGCCAGGAGAAGTTAATTGGTCATATCAACAAATACAAAGATGCTGTTAAAGAAAGAGACGAAGAACTCCAAAACAGAGAAAATATAATCGACCAATTAAACAATGAAATCAAGAAACGTGACAATTTGATACAAACTCGTGAAAAAGAATACAAACAGAACTTGAAGGCTTATGAGAAGACAAACAACGAGTTGAATGTTAAAGTACAGACATTGAATGATAATTTGTATCAAGAGAAACAAGAGAAAGAACAAATCAAAGTCCAAATGGCCAAAAACAATGAAGAAAATCAAAAATTGTTCGAAAAGAAAGAACAAGAATTAAACAAGAAGATTAATGATTTAATGGTACAAGGAACAGATATGAATGAGCAGATTATCAAGCAGTTGAACTCTGAGAAAGAAAACAGCCATAATTTGCAAGAGATAATCAATAAACAAAGTAAAGAACTCGATGATCTCAAAGTTGTTCAAAACAATTTAGTTTCTGTTTCTAAAGAAAATGAAGGACTGAAAAGTGACAAAGAAAATCTGACAACACAAGTCAATAGTTTAGAGCAGAAATTGACGAACGAAGAAGAGAAAGTCAAAGAGCTCGAGGAATCCCAGAAACAAAAAGAAAAAGAATACCAGAGATTGTCAGAAAAGTACGATAAATTGAAAGACCATGCAATTAATTTGAGAGAACAACTTGAGAACATCGAGAACAACTCGAATGAGAGCAACAACAAACTCAACGAAAAGATCAATTTACTCAATGAAGAAATTAGTAAATTGTCTAATGAAAACTCTCAACAAAATAACCTTATTCAAGAACAAAAAGTGTCAATTTCTCAGACCACTTCACAACTCAAAGAATTTGAAGCCAAGAACGAAGATCTCAACAACAAATGCAACAAGTATGAAGAAGAAAACAATACTTTGAAGCAGAAATTGACAAGTGAAGTCAATAATTCAAATTCTTTGTCAGAAAAACTTTCTGAACTCACTTCACTTCTTGATAATTCGAAGCAGAATCATCAGAATGCACAATCCAAGTACGATGAATTAGTTAATTCTTCTAATTCTCAGATTAAAGATTTGACTGAGAAATTGAATGAAGAAAAAGCTAAAAATGATTCAGCAAACAACAAACTCAATGATTTAACAAAGCAGAATGAAGAAATCTCTGCTAAGTTATCTCATTCTGAATCAGAATTATCTTCTGTCAAAGAAGAAAATAATAAATTACAAAGTGAAGTGACCACTTTAAGAACAACCAATCAAAACAACGAAAACAAACTCCAAGAGAAGGAGAAAGAGCTTTCTGATGTTAAAGAATCGATGGCTAAACGTGAGAAAGAGCAGAGTGAAGTCATTTCTCAGTTGATGAAGTCTGCAGACGCCGATTCCAAGTTAAATCAAGCAATTGAAGATTTGCAACAGATGCAGAAATCCAATGCAGAAAAGGACAAAATCATTTCTGATCAGCAGAAGAAGATCGAAGTGATTGTTCCTCTTCAGTTGCAAATGACGAACTTGCAGAGAGAGAAAGAAGAACTCAACGCAAATCTCGAGAACACAAAGAACGAACTCAAGGAGAAAACTAAAGAACTCAACGAAGTAAATGAAAAACTCTCCAAGAGATCGAAAGAAATTGTTCAATTAAGAGATGAAGTCAACCAAAAGACAGTTGAAATCTCTTCTTTGAATGACTTAGTTCATAACCAGAACCAAGTCAACGCAAAGCTCGAAAACACAAAGGCAAAGTTGCAGGAGAAAGAAGAATTACTCGAAATTTCGCAGAAGAAATTGAGAGAAATTTCATCGTCAAATGAAACATTCAAAGAAAATTTGAATGCTTTACAAACAGAAAACGAGCAACTGAAGAAAGAGAACTCCGAAAACTCCGAGAACATCCGCAAGCTCAACGAGCAGATTTCAACAATCAACAGACAAAACGAAGACAAATTGTTGGAACTCAAACATAATAATGATGCTTTACAAAATACGATACAAAACGTGACATCAAAGAATTCACAACTTGAAGCAGATGTCCAAAACAAAGAGAAGGAGTTGCAGAGATTGAATAACTTGGTAACAGAGATCTCCGGAGAGCTTAAATCCAAAGAAAACAAGGCAGAAGACCAGAAACAACAGCAAAACTCAATTTTGTCTTCTAAAGAACAAGAAATCAAACAACTCAAGGAAGAAATCAACCAGTTGAACTCTAACTCAGAGAAACTCGTTCAGAACTATAATTCTAAATTGGAAGAATCTGAAAAGAAGATTAACAAACTTAACCTTAAACATGGCGAAGAAGTCACTTCACTTAACACGAAACTCCAACAAATTTCAAGTGAAAACAAGAAGATTTCACAAGAAAAGACAAGTTTGGAAGAAGACAAGACCAATTTATCCAAAGAAAATGAAGAATATAAGTCACAATTACAAGATTTGAAGAAGAAACTTGAAGAATTAAACAACACAATTTCTGATAAAGAGAAAGAAATAAACGACCTCAAATTACATGTTGTAGAAACAACAGAAGAAAAAGGTACACAAGAAGTTGCTGAAGAAGAGGAAGAAGTTGGAGAAATGGCACCTCTTAAACCAGTTTCAAACAATCTCCCACCGAAACCAATGAGAAATCTCCCATGGAATACAATTGACGACAAAATCTGCCATGGAACAATTTGGGCAGCAGTTGACGAACCATCAATTGAACAGTCCAAACTCGAACTCAGCTTCGGAGATGACAAAGCGAGAATTGAATTTGTCGACCAAGTCAAGGCCAAATCCATTGACATCATTCTCATGCAGATGAAGAGAAATCCACAGGAAATTGCGGATGGTATCAAACAACTCGCAAACTGGCTTCCTGAAGACCAGTTGACAGCATTGAAAGCGATCCTTCCATCAGAAGAAGAGAAGAAACAAGCGCTTTCATACAAAGGAGACATAAAACGTTGTGGACCAGCAGAACAATTAATGATTTTGTTGTCACAAATCGATTCATTGGAGTTGCGAATCAACTTCATGATCACATTGCGAAATTACAAAGATAAAGTCCAGAAATACGACACTCCTCTTATCTCGACACACATTGGCTTCACACAGTTGAAAGCTTCACCAAAACTGAGAAAGATCTTGTCAATTATTTTGCAGATCGGAAACTTCGTCAACGGCGGAACTCCTAAAGGAGGCGCACATGGATTCAGCCTTGATACATTCTCAAGATTGAGGACATACAAGACTAACAAAGGTGATTCATGTGTTAACTTCATTGCACAACAATTGGAACAAGATCAAGCCGATTTCGTCGAAGATTTCAAGGAATTGATCAATAATTCATCATTCAATGTTGATGCTCTTTCTCAAACATTGAATAAAATGAACAAGAACATCCTTGAGTGCTTGCTCGAAATGCCTAAGGCAGAGGCCAAAGTAATTGAAGGAGATTTGTTCTTCCCGAAGTTCATGGAATTCTACGGTGAATCAAGAACGAAATTGGAAGAAATTTCTGGATTGTGCAAGACTGTCGTAAGAGATTTCAGAAAGGCAAAGAAGATGTTCGGAGAGGATGAAGAGGAAACATTGTCTGAGTTCTGCTCAAAGTTCACTTCGTTCCAGGAAGAGCTAAAGGAGTCAATCTCAACATCAAAGCGCAGAAGCAGCGATGTGGAGAACGCCCAGCAACAGGGAGGAGCTCCTTCTGCTCCAGCTGGAGACTCCGAAAGAGGTGTCTTGGATAACTTGATGGCAAACTTACAGACTCCAAAGAAGAAAGGTTTCTTCGGTCTCTTCAGATAAGATTTTTTTTGTGAATTTATTCATTAATAATAAATATATCATTTATCATAATCTCTCTTTTTATTAAGAAATTCCAATGTTGTACTATAATACTAATTTCGAATCTTGTAATGAGTGCTTAAAAGAAAATTGCAATATTATGACAGGAAAAAAGTTTAATTGTGTCATATATTTTTATTTAAATCAAGAGAATCATCCTGCTTTCAGGAAAACTAACTTCAAGCAAAATATAAAAAAGCCAAATGATCGATAAAAGAGCCAAATATATATCTTAGAGATAATAAACAAAATGAAAATGTGAATCCGATATCGTTCAGCGGTTAGGATATGTGGTTTTCATCCACAGGATCGGGGTTCGACTCCCCGTATCGGAAAACTTTTTTTTCAAGTCAATTGTTAATTGATTTTCTATGGGATAAAATTTCGCAAAAATTTGGTATAGATCTTTTGCTTCATGAACTCCACGCTAAAATCTTTGAGGCTCTTGTTAATATTAGGGATAGTAGTAATAAGTTCAATCAATTTCTTGGACAAAAATCTAATTTTTGAGACAATTTCCCCAATTAATTTCGAATACAAACAACTAGATGTTTATATCTATTCAGCAACAATAGCGTGGCACAATCTTACAAGACACCATACAAGTTATAAACAATGGGGACGTTATGTTACAAAATTTTATCCAAAATGTAATTTTAACATATGGTGTGACTATAAAATAAATGCTACAAACGATACAAATAACAATGAAGTACTCATAAGTTATCCAAACCCCTTCAAATATCATTTTGTTTTCAACCCAGTCATAATATTCTATGATTCGTGTTACTATTTGCTTAAAAATACACAAAACAGATGGCTTTTACGCGTTACAGACGACGTTTTTGTTGACGTTTTTGAACTTCAGAAATACATTACTCATCTCGAAAAGATTTACGATCCTCTGAAACATATTGTTATAAAAGGAGAACAGACTGAACATTATTTGCACGGCGGTGCTGGCTATTTGATCTCCAGAGCTGCAGCAGAAGCTCTAATTGAGTTTGATAAAGAATTTCCACTAGAAGCAAGCGATATTGGTGACGATTATCTACTGGGAGAGATATTTAGTATGCTACAGAAAGGAAATATGAATACAAAATCCTTTGCTTCTGCTGTAATCCTTGCACAAAGTTATGAAAAGCTTAATAAAGGTATTTCTTACTTACCGAATTGTTCTGGTACCATAGTATTAAGTCCTGGGCAAATTGCTGTGTGGCATGCAGGAAATAGAGATATGGAAGTTGTGGCAAATAATAATTTTTATAAAAAACTTCCAGGAAATGTTTATATCGAGGTGCTAAAAGGATTTAGATATTTCTGTATTGGAAACAAAGAAAATATTATTAAAAGTTACGAAAAAGAAGATAATCGACCTAATTTCGTAACAATGAAAGATGTACCTGATATTATAAAGGCCAACCAAGGCAAAATACCGATGCATCCGCATGAATATCAAAAGTTTTATATGTTTAATCATTAATTAATTCAAAATTTTTATTTTATTTTTTGTTTGTTAGTAAATTATATTATATTCTATTATATTTTAATTAAAAAATCATCTGCTCATATAATATTTCATTTAATGGTTCCTTATAAGATAAATAAGATATCATTTTGTTTACATTCAATCTATGTTTATTTTTTATCAATGGAAAGTATCTGACGGTAATATTCAAGAAAAATCATAAATATTTTTGAATTTTATCAGATAAAAACAAATACAATCATTGAATATCATTAATCTAAACAATATAATATTGATGATGGTATCAAACAACTCGCAAACTGGCTTCCTGAAGACCAGTTGACAGCATTGAAAGCGATCCTTCCATTAGAAGAAGAGAAGAAACAAGCGCTTTCATACAAAGGAGACATAAAACGTTGTGGACTAGCAGAACAATTAATGTTTTTGTTGTCATAAATCGATTCATTGGAGTTGCGAATCAACTTCATGATCACATTGCGAAACTACAAAGATAAAGTCCAGAAATACGACACTCCTCTGATCTCACCAAAACTGAGAAAGATCTTGTCAATTATTTTGCAGATCGGAAACTTCGTCAACGGCGGAACTCCTAAAAGAGGCGCACATTGATTCAGCCTCGATACATTCTCAAGATTGAGGACATACAAGACTAACAAAGGTGATTCATGTGTTGACTTCATTGCACAACAATTGGAACAAGATCAAGCCGATTTCGTTGAAGATTTCAAGGAATTGATCAATAATTCATCATTCAATGTTGATGCTCTTTCTCAAACATTGAATGAAATGAACAAGAACATTCTTGAGTGCTAACTGAAATTATAATAGAATTACAGATTATTTATTATTAGGTTTATTAATACTATATATTCATATGTTGTATCAATTTTATATTAAGAATATAGTTTAATTCTTTAAAGAAATGATACCAAAAGAATTCATAAGATTATGGGATTTGTGATAGATTTCTTCATCACATGTTGGATTATTCAAATAAATAGGATATTCTGCTTCACAAGCATATGATGAAAAATGAGGAAGTCTATTAATTGAATATAAATTAGTGTGAACTTCACCTGATACAACATTTCCATCGAAAGCCCATCTATCGCAATAGCAATAATGAACAATAATATAACAAGTAAATGCATGAAAATCAACACCAGACATTGTATTACCAAGAAATGAACAATTTGTTATAAAAGAATTAGCTACTGCGGCACTCAGTAACTCTGAATCAGATTTGTTGAGTTGGTTATTTAAAACGTTACAAAATTTCAAATTATATTCTCCATTTTCAAATCTTAAAACTGTACATATTGTTGAGGTGTTATAATATGTTGAATATGTGATATTGCATGGACTTATTAATTGATTAATCCTTATTCCTGAGTTTTCATGGGCATTACAAGAAGTTGTATTTATTGATTTAATACTAACATTTCCAAACATTAAGTAATTCGTTTCACCATTCTCTATATCACCACATTGATAAAATGAACACTCATGGATATAATTTAAATAATCTGTCGAATCTTCGCATACGGCACATGCATGATACTTCCCATTTATTGCTTTTGACATGTAGCCGCATGATCGGTACTGAATAATAGAACTAATACAGTCAAAATAGATAGAAGCTGCATAATTATTGCTACTACAGTTAACAAATAGACAATCAGAGTAAAGAAACTTTGAATTACTGTGGTTGAAATAAATTGCAGAATTATTAGAAATATTGTTGAACATACTATTATATATGAAGCATTCTCCATTGTTGCAATCCGCCGAAATATTTTCACCGCTAATATATTCTGATTTTGGAAAATCTCCATAAAAGAGCTTCCAAATATCATATGGTGAGTGATCTTTATGAAATGGTTTCTTTAGCCTTGGTAATTCTCGAATTTTTTTGATATACATTTTGATCGGAGTACCATTATTCCAATCACGGACATTAAAAATAGTAATTCTCACAAATATTTTCTCACAATTTTGAATCAGTCTCAAATTTTTATCCTTCGTACTTGCAATCAATGGTACGAAACAAACATTTTTTTAATGAAATAATTCCACTTTTCCAGTATGATTCAATTTTCAGTTTTACGAGTTACACAATCAATAATACAAAACTAGTTGTCAACAGTGTTTTTCAGTCAGAAAATAATGAAAAGCCGTTGCATAAAAATTTCGTTACATTTTTGAATGGAGTTCCATAAAATGGTGGGTCGAGATTAGCTGAATTTAAAAACTAAAAGGAGACGATGAAATCTAATGAGTGGAAATTGGTAAAGTCCAATTTGATTCTGGAAATTCTAAATCACCAAATTTGAAAGAAAAAATGACAAGCATTCCTAAAATAAATTGCGGCCATTCTGGTGGAAATCTGCTGGAAAATGTACAATAAAGCTAGCGATGCCATATGAGACCAGATTTTATTTATTAATTAGTGACAGATATTACTTTTCATTCTGAGACTTACTCTACATCATAAATATTATCTGTTCGCACTTTAAAACCAGAATAGAGCCACTTTTTTTGATATGAGAATTAATCTCTTAATCTAGAATCAGTCACAATATAAAATCTCTTTCATAACTAGCAACTGAAATATAATGAAATATAAAAATAGAAAGTAAACTGAATAATAAAAAAAATTTATTCAAAATTTAAGAAGAATTATCTAAAATCCAGTTTTCTATATCTTCTAGTCTCTTTAGAGTTTCATCTGTTACTTCATTCTGGTATAAATTATCAAATTCATCAAATTCCAACGCATCAGTCACTGTTTTACATAAAACTGGGTGTTGTTCAATAGGAGACACTTTTATTATGTTGGTCAGACCATTTAGAATGTTATTAGTGAATTTATCATCTAAAACTTCCGATGAAAACGCAATTGCTTTCGTCAACAGAGAATAATTCAAATAATGATAAGAAGAAGCCTCTATTGATGTCATTAATGAAGAGAAGAAACTGAAAATTGCAATTTTTAAGTCAAATTCCGCTGAAAATAAATAATTTTCTATTTTTTGAAGAAATCCTTTTTCAATAAATTGTTTTGAGAATGTTGGCGACTGTGATAATGCTATAAACATGTTAAATATACTAGATTTAAGTGTAAGTGATGGATAATCTTGGAGTTTCAGAAAAATTATTTCAATATTTATGTTTTCATAAAAAATTGAGTTTTCTGCCATATATGTAATGAATTCTATTGCTGTATGAAGGAGTTTTGTATTGTCTGTTAATAAAATTTGGGGTAAAAAAGTCCAATATTTGTCTAAAAACAGATTTCGTGAAGATATTGATCGTAAAAGAGTTAGTATCTCATTATGAATATATGTATTAGTTGAATATCTTGTTTTATTATTAATTAAATAGTTCATTAAGTCTGAGATTTCGTTTTCATTAAAATATTGACAAACAAGGGCATTAAGAACGCGGAATACATGTGTAGATGTGTTTTTATCAATGATTTCGATTTGTTTGATTGTAGAAATTAATAAAGAAATTTCTATTTTTTCAAGATCTGAATTAATTAAGATGTAATATATGATATCAAATACTTCATCAATTTTTCTAATGAATGCAGTGTCTGTTATTGATGAAATTAAACGTGAAAAGTTTTGTTCTGTTAAAAATTCTGAAAATAAGTTGTCATTTGATGTAATAATAAGATGGATGAGTTCTAAACAGATTTTACATGTAGGATAATCTAAAAATTGGTATAGAATTCTCATAATTTCATGAAATTTTGTTATTGAAATTTCTAGTTTTGTAATGTTTTGTGAAAATAATGAGAAGACTGAACTAAAGTAGACCATTCGACTATTACACGATGATGATATTAGTATGTTATCGATAGTGTTTTCTAAAAAATGAATCAAATTTAACTCGTCAAGCACTGAAATAGACAGATTTTCGTCAAAATAGCTATTTCTGTCTGTAATAGTTATAATATTATGATGGGTTTGCTCGTCAGAACAGTTTGGTTTATATAACATTTTTAGTAAAATCTTTTGTTACTTTTTTGGGAAAAATTTGCTCTCTTAGAGCAAAAGCATTCTTTAATTCATTAAAGTATAAAGAATTGAATAAAACACATATTTTTATTACTTTTTTGAAACAAATATTAATGGAAGAGTAAAATTAAATCGAAAATAGAGTTTTCTCTTCCTTTTACTAACAAATAGAATAATGTCAAATGGAAACGGATATTCTGCTTCACATTTACCTAATGAAAGGCGCGAAAGCGTAAGATTAAAAGAATCTATTTTTGCTTTATCTGTATTAAGTACAGCATCTTTATAACTTGCAGACAAATTTCCGGTGCAGTTTATAACTGTAAGAACAGAATTTAATGAACAAAAAGTATATTTTGCATTGTTTCCTATGAAAATGCATTCTGAAACAGTAACATTTGATGAAGAAGAACAAGATTCAAGAAGGCCGTAAGGGTTGTCCTCAATTTTAACTGAGTTATTTTTGAAAATTGATTTTTTAACAAATGAATCAGGTGTACCATTATGTTCCATACAAGGGATATCTGATTCATGGTTATCATTAGAAATGAAGCAACAAAAGTTAACATTAACTGGATGACCCCAAAACATATAACCTGCTTTGCCGTAACATCTTGTATTAGTGTTATTTGTAGATATTAGAGTTTGATCACCATACCAATGAGATATACTGGCCCATCCAGTGTCATCATAACCGCATTGATAGAGTGAACTTAAATTAATAAAATTTTTGTTTGTTTTTGTTTGAACATCAACGTATGAATGCTTCCCATAGCCTGGTGTATAGCATTTAATAGAACAAAATCGGTCTTGGACAATGGAGCTGTTACATTTGAAGTAGATTGAGCCACCATAACCATATTCTTCATTGTGCGCAATATTAGTATAAGTACATATCGAATGTAGTAATTTAATAGAATCAAATTCGCATTTAATGACATTGTCTGAAAAATTAATGAAATTTGAAGAAAGTAAAAAGAAATTTTTAGAAATCGTTGGTTGTGTGTTATTTGCGACGCTCGCATAGTTTTCTGCTGGATGTCCGTAGTATTCTTCCCATGTATCTTTCGGAACTTGAGCTTTATTGATTTTGAATAGAAAAAAATGTCAAAAACAAATTTCAATGTGAACAGTAGTTCTGAAAAAATCTCATATTCAGATACTTAAATAGAGGTTAAAAAAACTTCAAATAAAATCGGAACTTTTTCATCAGCAAAAGTGCAAAAATATCCGAAGTTTTTAATTCTTTTTGAATTGGATCAAACTATGAATTGGTAAATAACCATATTAACAATTTTCTCATCTAAATATATCATTTTCCAAAAATTGATTGCTGTATTTTGTGCATATTGGAGAAATAGTTCAAAAGTTGTAAAATTGTTCAGAAATATGATTATGATTTAAAAATAAGGTGATTAAAAATAATGTTTATAAGTAATATTATTGTGATTGAATATGTTCATCAATAGAAAGCTTTGCAACGCACTTTGCGCATCCGCTTTCTGTGATGCAAGACTGGCAAACAGGTAAGCCGCACTTTGGACAAATAGTTAATTCATTTAACTTCGATTTGCAGCAAGGACAAAATTCAAAAAGATTTGATTTCAAAAGTTGTTTCTGAACATCATTTGAAACACAAGCAAATAGACCTCCTTGTGCATTAACTGCTGCACAGCACTTTCCTTTACCAAATACAGTCAATGCAGAAACAGCAATTTCATTAGTATTAAACAAAACATTACTAATTAATTTGTTTTTGATCAAATCTAAATTCCAAATCAAAACATCGCCATTTTCATGTCCACTGACAAAGAATGGTGTAGATGTCCATAATATAGAATCATTACTATTGATGCATGTAAGACCTTTAGTTTCTGATTCAATCAACTTCTCTAAGTTCTGTGTAAAAACAATTACAGAATTTTCTGTTGCAACATAAATCAAAAATGATGTTTCATCAATAACAATTTGTTTGACACCTGAAATATTGTATTTTCTCATTGGTATTCCTGATGAAAGATCAATGGTCATAACAAAATCTTTCGTAGAAACACAAATAATGGATAAGTGAGATGATACAGTCAAAAAGTGGATTTTTGTAAACAAAGGAGTTGTATTCAATTTTGAGAGTGAATTTTCTCTCAAAATATAAGTTGTTACGACACCATTTTCTGATCCTGTTACAAGGAAGAGATGGTCTTTAGAAATATTAGAGCATTGTATGTTGAAATTGGAATCTTCTAATATAATTTCTTTGTTGAAATCAAAACATTTTCCAAGAATTTTTATGTAATTTCCAAACATGAAATGTTCTAATTTAGGAGCTGCAATCAAATCCATGTCATAGTAAATTAACGATTCTGCATTTTTAACGTCCATTGATTTAAGACCGAAAACAGAAAACTCAGAATTAGACAAATCAGACAAATTCTTACTATTAAACTTAATTGATGGTTCTTCAAAAACTTGGTGTGGACATTGACCGAAATTATTAATTGCATCAACTTGTGCTTTCATTTCTCTTTGGTCATCTGTGAATTGTAGAGGCTGGTACTCGTAACTTAATGGATGGAAAACATTGCATGCGTCAATAGCTGCTTGTCCTGTCTCTTTGTATCCAAAGATTAAATCGATCCAATCATTTAACATCATTTGAACACTCGGACATTCCAAAACTCTGCGAGAAATAACCATGAATTCCAATGGAGATGATGCCCATTTAGGAAGGACAACGTTGCAAAGATCTGTACCATCAGTTCTTGTCGTCAATGGTAAATTGTTTTGATTAGTCAAATATTCGAAACAACAGAAAAATTGAGGAATTAATTCCTTCAAATCAGCTTGGTTTCCTGCAGAAGCAGAATTCCATGTTTCATTTATATTGATGAATAATCTGTCTTTGTGGTCGAAACCATTATGCAAACTAACATTATAAATAGTATATGGTTCGCATCTCATCATATAATATAAAACAGTTGCAGGATATGAATAATGAGTTCCATAAAAGTATCTTTCTCCTGTTTCTATGTACATTTGTTTAAATTTCTCTGCTCTTTGTTCGCCAATCATTCCCAATGGTTTCTTCAGATCTCTGAGTTTGTCGTAACCATTATCATTCTTGTAATCCGAAATAACCCATGGCAAAACAGGATATTGGGAATAATCATTAAAAGAACGTAATCCAACAGCATTCAAATACAAAAGATAATCAAAAGTGGAAATTTCTCCATTAGACCACAATTCTGATATTGTTTGTGGTTTCTCGGCAAATAACTTGATGGCCCAAAGCGGTCCTCGTTGTGATTCATGTTTTGCAAATGTCACTTTTGAAGAAATTGTTCTTCTGACATTTTCTGACAAAACCAAAGAGAAAGAATTTCCTTGATATGTATAAATATCAAGAGCAGTGTCTTCGTGGATGAATTTCCTTGGTATTGTGTAACAGATGTCCTTGTAGTTGATGTGGATCACAGAATGATTGAAAAACAAGGTTGTTTTCGCCATGATTCCGAATGGCAAACTTTCAATCAAACTTGAATGACAAATTTGATCTCCGATGTCATTCATTATTACTTCGCCTTGGTTACTCATTGACGCGTTAGTAATAATATACAAATTCTCAGAAGAAATGACACCGATACATGGCAAACTCTCAGGATTATTCAACATTGCACATGCGAAAATTTTTTCTGTCGGTTTGTACATCAATTCTATCATCAAATTAATTCCAAATGGAACAAAACTTGGAAGATTCCAGCCATCATATACTTTCGCTGCCATGGCACTCTGCATAATAAAGTCTGCTTTCGCTACAAATGGCTGTTTGTGAATTGACATTGGTGATGCCACTTTTCTGGCACTTTTTGTAAACTGAGCTTCATAATTTATAATTAACGGCATCAATTTAAGAGGCGGAACGAAAGGAGAAGGAGCCTGCAAGAACATTGATTTGTCGTAGTTCATTTGAGCCAATTCCTGGCATTTAGCGTTCTTAAACAACAGATCTACCGCGTAATTCACAGCTTGTGAAGAAAAGTTGTAATGAATGAAGAATTGGAAACGAAAAGCTCTTCTTATGAAACAAACATGATTTGTACTAAACAAAATCGACAAATAACGTTTTGATTGTGATGATTTCTTTGTTACAAACTGTCTTTCCTTTTGTATATAAATGGAATTAGCTGTTGCATCAGCATAAATGTCTTTGAAATAATCTTGGAATGTCAAAGGAATCGTTGGTTTAGAATCAAGCCATTCAATTGCTTTTCCTTGACTAAATAAATTGGTCAGTTCACTTTCTGACAAAAGTGAAGCGATTAATTTATAAAGATCTTGTGCTTCTTGTTTCTCAGAGATCTCGCGAGTGACAATGATCGAAATGAAACTCGAAAGAATCTTTGAATTATTTACAATAACCTTAAACATTGAAGAATTTACCATTTTTCTAGCAATTGACAATTTCATTTCATCATTTGGTGCTTGCGATAAAATTGTTACGACAAAGGCACCAATTATTTCATTGTTTGTTTCATTCTGTATATGTATAGACAACAAAGCATATATTTCATCAATGCAATCTGTCCACCAGCCTTCAATTATTCTACAAATCAAAAAGTGGTAAAAAACAAATCTGACATCGGTTGGAATTTGTTGTAAATTCAATGCCAAAAATTCATAAATTATTTTGTGCTGCATTTCTATTTGTATTTCTTGTGAAACATCAGCACCGTTAATCAACAAACAGATTAAAGCTTTCTTCAGCTTATCTTCACCTGCTAATGCTGATTGGAAGATTACTTTCGCTGCTAATCGACTGATTTGTAATGTTGACTCCAAGTCAAAAATTTCTTTCAAATTTTCTGGCAAATTTTTCTGAGGAGGTTCAACAAAATTGGAATTATCAACAATCAAAGGTTTCGCGGATAAGTAATCAACAGTTTCGTTAAATAAGAACCTATCGAAATACTTCAGTTGGTCTTTAAACTGCAACATCCTCACATCAACGAAATTATCAAATGATGCTCTGATTTTTGATGTCAATTTACGCTTTACTTTGACGTTTTCGTCAATTCTTATCAAAGTATACTTCAAAGGTGTCAATTCCCTCTCATTATATCCAAGAGAAACTAAAACTGACACTTTTTTAGCGTAATTAGTCAAAGTTAAGTTAGAATTCGAACAAATTTGAGAGAATGTTTCAATTATCTCTGTGCAGAGAGCATCATTTTCTTTGTTGATGATGTTTCTCATTGAATTTAAGATGAATGAGATAATTTCTATTCTTCTAACTTGTTCATTCTTATATTCAGTGATTGTATCATGTTTGCTTTGTGTAAAGAGTGTGAATAGTATCAACCAGACTCTTTTATCTTTGGCTTCATCCCTGAATATGTATTTTAATTTCTTAAATTCGGCCAAATTGAAGTAATCATACTTAGAAATGCATATCTGTGATATGAAATCAAGTAATGATAAGCATAGCTCTGTATTTAACAGACTGGCTAATTGAAATGCCTGTTTCGAACCAAAAATTTCATAAAAAGTGTCACTTTTCATTGTCAACATTTTGTAAAATTTTCTTTGAATTTCGAGTGAACCTTCTTGGTAGAGAGGAGTTACGTCATCTGTCTCTATGTGAGGGATGGAGATCATCACCAATGCGATCTTTTGCAGGAGGATAGGGAATTTCTGCACAAATATCTCAATTAAACTCAAACAATGCTCTTGAGCTTCATTTGATAACAAAAAGAAGGAGAAAATGTCAATAAGATACGACAAGAATAATCCCATTTCAGGAGAATTGTCAACATGCTCGATCAATCTGTGTACAAATACGAAATTGATCTTCTGAGAAACTAATAATCTGTAATCCGTATAAATGGAGAACGCTGAAGCGATATCGACAACTCCTTTGTCTGTAATACCATCGAAAATGATGTTCTCAACACTCGGAGTGTACATTTCGTCTCTTCTAAATAATAAATATTTCATAAACCTGTAGAAATGGATCTTCTTGAAGATGCCGAGTTTCATCATGTTGAAAGCAACTTTAAGACCGGTCTCGAATCTCTCAACTTCGTCTTCTTTACAATTTAATAGTTCATTGAAGATAAATTGAGGTCCGCCGAGGCCATCGAAATGTCTGATGAATCCTTCGTAGTTTACGATCTTCGCGCCTGCAGAAATTCTCATGTTCGAGAGATACTGGACATTTGGTCCTTCTTCGAGGATTCTGTTCATGTGATGCTCCTTGGAAACACCGAGATCGTCTGTTATTAACGATGACGACATAAGCCAGATAGAAGTCGTGTTTGGTCCGCCAAATATAATATACTTCGGCATTATTGATTTGGATTGGCCAGCAAATTGGCCATTGAGATATACGGATAATGCCTTTGAATCGTTGATGATCGTTATTAGATTCCATCTCTTCATATCGTATTTTACGGGATTTCCTCCGAAAACGATCAATCCTTCGGGATTCATCTCCACTAAAAGGTTGTTGTAACTGAAAATGACGGTTTTCATGGTTATTTCGTACGGGAACATCCAAAATGAGAAAATCGGAGCGCATAATGTGGTCAAAGACGGATCTCGAGCTGCAGGATGGAACACAATTGTTCCTTTTTGTGGTTCTGACGTAGATGTTGCTATTAAAAGTAATTCTGGGTCGTGCATAATTTGTTTCATTTGTTCACCATTGAAACCTTGGGAAATAAACAGTTTCATTTCATCTTTTGTTGGATTTACCATGTTCCTTGCAAGCATAATCTTATCAAATGGGTTCCTGGCCTCGGTTATTTTGAGATGTGGAATAATTGAAGGAATTCGAATGAATCCTACTGTATCTGAGCCTGGAGGGACTCCATACATCAGGTTTTTGAGGTCATTCTCCGACCACTTTTCAAATAAATTCCAATTATTAGAGACAAAATCATCGATTTCTTGGACAGGACCGTCAATTGCCAATGCAGAAATAAGTCCAAGACCTGCTCGTGTCGTTGCAATGTTCTTTAAGCATGGAATATAATCTTGCTTGAAAAATTCTTTGTTAAAAAGATGAATCCTTCTTGCAGCGTTCGCGAAACAGTTTAATGTGAAGTCTGGTATATCTTTCGTAAGCTCTAATACGACTTGTGGTATAGTGATTGCAACATTTGCTCGGTCAAGGAGTTTTGAGAGCAAAGACGATACGAGTTCGCAGTCTATACGTGTAAGTTCGATGAATTTCATTAGAACGGCCACAGAAGCAACACAATCCGAGTAAATTTGGTTACATGCGGCATTACACATAGCGAAATAGTCAGGTTTCGTCTCGAGATAGTTCTTAAGAGTATGAGTATCGACGTTTACGATGATAGAATTGAGTACAAGACCAATATGTTGGTCCCATTGAGTATCTGTAACTAAATGCGAGAGATACTCCTCATTACAGCAAGTTTGTTCGAGAGGTAAGCATGCAGCAATGAAATTAGACTTAGTAACGTAATCGCATTGATGAATAATTGAAAATAAATTTTCGATATCTTGTTGAGAGAAATCTTTAATGGATTTGGTAAAGCTTTCGAATGAAAATGAATCAGGTGGTGGTATTAATTTTGTTTTAATAATCGCGTGAAGGGCTGAAATATGAGTTGAAGCTGTTGCGTCCTTAGAAGCGCAGATTTCTGATAAAGGAGTCCATGTAACAGCTGGTATTAATACAGGAGCTTTAAGAAAACTGGCAAAACAGTTCATTGATGTAAGTTTAGGAGATAATGCTAAAATTTTTGGCATAATCTGGACTAAATAGTTTGTACAGTCGTAATTGCATGTTACATAGGCAATAAATTCGATTGCTTGTGTAAGATTTACAAATTCTTGATCTTGTTTCGTGATATATTCATATGAAACTTTAATTAGCTCGTTGAAATATTCTGGATTCAAAAATTTGATATTGCTGACAACTTCTAGGACTAATGAGCCAAAAACCGAGTTCGTATTTTTGTTTGTTACGAAAGTATTCAACCAAATTTTGGAAATGTTCGTACCTCCGAAAAGAAGAGGCGCGAGAGTGTCTGCAATAAGTGCCAAATGAACGAAATCGACAGCGTATAGGCTAATTTCTTCATTATTCATCTCTAAAATTTTAATTACGATAGATACATAGCTCTCGAATGTAGGTTGCTGTGTAGCAGTGATAATGACTGCTTTGCTCATAAAATCAATAACCTTTTTCATTTCTTCTACCTTGCCTTGAACAGAAAAGAACAAAGATGTGTACATGGCTACAAGTTTTCTCATATCATCGTCTAGTTGATACTTTGTTAGATCTGTTCCATGCTTTGGAATAACTTTCTCTAACATATAATCTCCAGCTGGTAATGGAGAACTTGTTGCTGGGAGTTCTTGCACAATTTTTCGAAATGTTTTGATTTCTTCTGGATCCATTAATCTGGAGACCAGCTTTAATCCGCCTTGGCCTCCGAGCTTTAATGAAAGTTTTCTCATTGTGCAAAAAATTGATTACTTTATCGTTAAATATGTATTCAATTATCTTCTATAATTTGTAATTACAATGAACAATAAAAGTAATTTGATTTCTTAAAAATTATTTGCTCAAATAAACGATAGGTGGAAAATCTAATGCGAATAATTTAAAATATTTACGTTTGATGTTAACAAATTTATTAACTTTTCAATTAGATACGGAATGATTTTTAAACATTGAATCGTCATTAAAAATAAGAATTTAAGAATATTTGTTCTGAAGAATCGAGGCAATTAAATGGGTAATAGCTTGGCTTTCCACTAAGACACCGTACAAAATGATTTCATTTTAAAGATTCTTAATGAAGAACACCTAAAGAATACATCAGGTCAATATATTGAGTCTTAGACTTCAACTGACCTGGTTTGAGGTATTTTCTTTAGATTTTGCATTATTTTTGTTTCATTTTATCAAGGATAAAAAAAATGTTCTATTTACCAGACACAGAATTAATGATAAATATCGGACCGTGAAGTCTAACTTAACAAATCAAAAGTTTTCATTTGCATTTTAATGTTCCTTTTGATTTGCCCCTAAAAAGTTTATTGGTAAATTGTTATGTATACTATTGTTGCCATGTAAAATAACCACCTCTATTTTAGTTGCTTTATAAAATGTTTCATATTTCGTAAAATTTCTAATTTTTTAGGCTATCCAAATAGCTGTTAATAGCGGAATTTGCATCTCCGTGAATTACAACAAGTTTCATTGCCTCTTTTTTATCTACACCAGTAAAAAGCATTACTTGTTGGATATCTTCTTCTTTGTTAAGTCTTTCAGTTATTTCCTTTGAAATTCTTTGACATCCAGATGATGTTATTTCGATTTGTCGATATTCTTCCAGTTCTTTGATGCCTATATCATTCGGACATTTTTGAGATACATCTCTTTCTTTCCAAAAAACTAATCCATTTTCTTCAACAGAAGAGAATACTCCTTTTTGAATCAGAGTATTAAAAATTTCAACAAATGGAGTATTATATTCAAGAACTGCATCTAAGTTTTCTTTATTGTCATCTGCAAGTAATGTACTGAGTTCAAGGTATAAATGGATTCCATTCAATGGTTTTATATTAACTTCACGAATATTCTTTAATCCATTAGTAATATCAGGTGAAAACTCGAATTTTACTGGCCCGGAACAATTGAAAAACTCGCAAAGTTGCTTTTCAATATTTTCTTGTGTCTCCGATGATTTAATCGATATTGATGCATTAAAACAATCATCATATATAAATTTTGTCTCCAAATTGTCTTGCAATGTTTTGATTTTAGCTGGATCTTGGTCTGTTATAGCGTAAACTTTCTGATTTGCATAACTACGAACCTTTTGATTTTTCCAAATTTCTTGATGTTGTGAATCTCTAAAATCAAACTTGCAATTTGCTAATTCTTGGTGCTCTTTATATATTACACTTGTAACTTCATTGAATGTTGAGGATTCAGAAACAGAAATTGTGAATTGAACAAAATTAGATTCATTATCAATATTATCAGTGATAATCACGTTCAAATTGATATTTCCGGCCTTTTTAGTAGTTTCAGTAATAGCTGATGTTGTTTTTTGACTAACTTGGCTCGATTCTTCAAGAATTTTGTAAAACTTCTTAACTTTGTCCTCTAAATTGTACAATTGTGAGTTCAAACTATTTAATCTGATCCATATTTGTTTAACTAACTCTTGTTTATTTTGTTTAAATTCTTCTTGAATTTTATCATAAATTTCTTTGGATTTCTGGTGAAGAGTAATGAATGTTGTAAGATTATCGATTATATTGGGAAGCTTGTCAGGAATTTTGTCAATTCTGCCATAAAATAAAATTTGATTATTTTGTTTATTTGTTTCTATGAGCTGGGAATCTTTATCAAGAATACAGATCTCGTAGTCCAGTAAAGTTTGGAATTCTTTGTATAAAAAGATTAAAATTTCATCAATATTAAAATCGCCATCAAAATAATATGTGAAAAATGGGCCAATTGTATATGGAATAAGACATATAAATGAATTGTGTTCAAATTTCTTCTTAACCCTTGAATAAAAATTGTTTAATTTTTCTTCGCTTGGTAACTCTTCAGTGGAAATGGATTGTATTTCTGTAGAATTTTGAGCATCTTCAAGCTTTGCAGGTGTTTCAAATACGTATATTGGACGCTTTCGACGATTTCGTAGAAATACATTCGATGCGATCTCATCTGGTTGAATTTTTCTACCGGTGAGAATGTATTCAACCTTGTGTTGGCGAAATTTACATCTTGAAATAATTTCAAGATCTAAACTTTCCATTTTTTGATTGGATTTAACTTCTAGATCGAACTCATTTTGTCCGATTTTATCAATAAATCTAAATTTAACGAAATCATTATGTGATTCTGATTTGATAGCTTCGTTAACAGATATGTCATCCAAATCTGGCTGATTTGGTAATAAGATAATTTGCGAATGATCGTTTTCTTTAATTATTTGTGATATTTCTTGATCTTCGTCTTCAATAGGTGTTAAAACGTAAAAGTTATATTCGTCTCCAAAGCTCTTGTCTTGTCTTATGTCGCTAAGCTGTTTTTCTTGTGATGAATCGTCGCTTAATGGCATTGGATTTTTTTCAAAGATTAAGATATTTGATGTCAATTCAAGAAATGAATTTTCAAAAAAAAAGTGAAAATTAGTAATTTACGTTTAGAATCATGGGGATGATTGCTTTAATTTAGGGTTGTTAAAAATATCAAAAATTAGCGTTTTGAAGACACCATGGTGTCTTATAATTTTCCCTTCCTTATTGGCGTGTAGAAATAAATGCGCCAATAGATTGAAGAAGAAGAATTGTTTTTCTCTTAATGAACTTTAATCCTTTTGATATAAGAATATTAAAAACATTAATATAATTTCGATTTCGGAAATTAAATTTCCAAATTTTTTGTCGATTTCGGAAATAACAGGATCCCGCATCCAACACGCAACAACAAAACACAAAACACACTTTTTGGTTCTTTCATCGTTTTAATCGTAATTTATGTAATACATGATTTGGATAAATTTTACAAAAATAGAACCTATATTATATTCTTTTCAAAGATTCTTGCAAATCATCAAAAATAATTGTATTTTAAAAAACGATCAAATTATCCTTTCATTATTTTAAACTTAAATTAGTTTTTATGATTGACTAAAGCAATCATATTTATTCATCATTAAATAAACAAAAAAATAATATTTGAGAGTTATTTCAAAAAAACACATTGAATTTATTAATTTGTCTCAATTTCAGTATTATAAATTTTTATAATTTCAATATTTTGAAATACACTTTTTAATATTTCAATATTTATGATATTTCAATGTATTAAGTGCTCTCAAACGGGCGCGTAAAGGGTTGGCGTCCTAAGGCGTCCTGATGTAAACTATTCAATTTTTGAGAAGTTTACACCATAATTGAATAGTTTATGGCGTCCTGAGAGGAGATTTCAATGGGTATGGCGTCCTAAAAAATAGAAGAAAATGATTTTTTCTCGATTTTTCTAGAAATTGAATTTTTTAAAAAAGAAAAAAATCAAAACGTATACATTCAAGAAAGACTATAAATGAAGATTTTTCTATTTTTTTTTCATTCTAAAACATCTTTTTTTGGATAATTTTTTTTTAATAAATATGTAAGAAAGATTGAAGAAAAAGTAAATTTACTTTAAGAAAATTCGTTTTACATGATGTAAGACCCATAACAACTATAAATATTCAATTATTTAAAATAAAAAAAGAAAAACAGATTAAATGTATCTCACATCAAAATCCATTGACCTAAGGATGTTAAGTTTCTGTTTTTAAAAGTTGATATTTTTTTTTTTAATTTTAAGAAAATTAATAGCATGTTATTAGACAATAAGAGTGTAATGATATTGACTAAACAGAAATGAGAGAATAGAGATATATTTTGATAAGCAATATTAGTAGTATATGTTGAAGGGTTGTGTGACTTTTTTTGTAAACGTAAGAATTCATACAATATTGAACGATTTTGTATCATTTTTTTTAACATATGAAGTAAAAAATGTATGATTCTTACGGTTTTTATTCTTACGTTTTTGAATAAATCAAGATTTAAAAAATTTTCAAAATTGTAAGACATTTACACTCAGCCCATACATAATGAAATAAAAAAAATAAACTTTAAAAATTCATGTCTTACATTTATGAAAATTTATTTTTATTTTGTATGAAATGAGTGTCAAGACTAACGACGTTAAAAAATTAGGATTCACAAATGAGGAAATAAAGGATATATTAGAGGAGGCAGGTTATGAGGTTGATAAATATTATTTTAGAAATTGTCAAAAATTCGCGGAGTTTTTAAATGAGTTTGATTATGATGGAAAAATGAATAAAGATGATGTTATAAATTTCTTATATCCCACATCTAAAAAGGGAAAAACTAAAGAACCTGATGTTTTCCCTGAATATTATGAAGAACGAATTAAAGATGATGAATACGATGAAATTGAAAGACTGGAAAAAATAAGAGATGAAATAGATGAAAAAATTAAGGAATTAAGAGAAGTTGAAAAATATAATGAAAATGAAGTAGAGGGTTTAATGAATATCCCAGCTTCAGAATCAGCAGTTCAGAAATCTCATGAAGAAAGATATAAAAATTATGTCTTAGAATCAACACAAAATTTATTAGATGGTGATATTGACGAAACACTCTCAGAAGAAGGCACAAAATTTATTCATAAACATAAGCTTCAGTTTATTGACGATGGAGATTATCCATGTATCTTACTTTCACCCCCTCTCGATTCTGAGAAATTCAAAAAAGCTCTTAAAAACGTGACATATGCAACTAATACGATTAAGAAAGAAGATCATGATATTTACACAAATTATTATTTAAATAAATGTACAGGTGTTGATAAAGTTTTTGATTTGTTAGATAAAATATCAAAAGAAACAATTGGTACATATAAAATTTTATGCGATTGTGGTTTCATTATTGAAGATACCAATAATGTTTCATATGAAAGAACAGCACCGAAGGAAGACGAAGTGGAAAGGTCTATACCATTCGTTATTAAGAATATAAAAGATATGAAAACGTATAAGCATTATATTTATTCATTTATTTCAGAAAAAATGGAAGCAACCCATAAAACATCTTCTCATCATTTTATAGCTATTCATACATTCCTTTTCAAAGTTGTGAAATTAAATAAGACAGGAATTAGATTTAATGTATCAGGGTATGCATTCTTGAGTAAATTAAAATGTATTCGTCACGTCGCAGATGATAAAAATTTATGTGTTCTTAATTCATTTTATGGGCTTTAGCCCTGGACTCTCTGAGTCTCGGACTTTAAAAAAAAATAAACTTTATTTTTATTTATTTTTTAATTTTTATTCTTACATAAATGAACAAAAATGGAACAGCTAAAATGAATGATAATCAAATAAGAGCCGAAGGTAGAAGGTTATTTAAACACTTCTATAACATTCCTGATGGTGTTAATCCTAAAACTCGTAGAAGTTATTTAAATGAAGCCATAGATGCATATGAAGGATTTGACATTTCATCAGAAAGTGAGAGGTTAGCAAGAATGTTAAACGTTAATATTGATTTTTATTATTGTGACCCTCAACCAGAAGACGTAGACATTAACAAGGTAGACTTTCCATTAGTGGAATCAATAATGATAGATCCAGAATTTGAAACAGTAAATATTTTATTAACACAGAGTCCATGTGGAAAACTTCACGCTGACAGAATTACAGACGTTGAAGCACTCACAGGATATAAAGTTTGCCCCTTTTGCAAAGAAGAAGTATATTCTATCCGTGATGATCCAGAAAGGAAAAACCAAAGAAGATTTTTAAAACATTGTGAGAAATGTAAAGAAAATAATGGAAGATTAATTCAAGACGTTCAATTGCAAAACACACAACAACCATATGCACCACATATCACGAAACAGAAGATATATCAGTGGTTATTAGCTCATAATTTGCAGGAATATTATAAACCAACAAGATATTATATTACTTTTGACTTCGAAACATTAGAGACTAAAGAAGAATTACAACTTTCTGAGTGTGCAACTTTGAACGCTTACTTAAAACCATTTATGGTATCATCAACTGTCAAAATAAAGCCGCAAAGCGGCGAGGTCGTAGACCGTGATAAAACATTTACGAGGAATTTTTGCTTAACATCAAGTGATTCGTTCATCTCTGATTGGATTGAATTTTTATTTTCAACCTGTTCATTAGTTGCTAAATCAAATATTGAACAATATGAAGAATTAATGAATACATTAAATGAGAAACAAAAGGAGGCAATGAAAGAGCTTTTAGATGAAGAATTTAATAAAGTGAATATCATTGGTTTTAATTCGGGAAAGTTTGATTTAAATTTAATTCTTCGTGATTTAAATACTGCAAAATGGAAGATAAAATCAATGCTGGGTTCTTCTTCTCAATTTAAGCAAGTCATAGTAAAGAAAACAAACTGTCCATATGAATTAAGATTTATTGACATCAGAAATTATATAGCGGGTGGGACATTAGACCAATTCACTCAAGATTTCGGAAACAATAAAACACGTGTTAAATCCTTTTTCCCTTATCAATTCATCACATGGGAGAATTACGAAGATGAATTATATAAAAAGGAACCATTCACTCAAGATTCATTTTATTCAGCATTAACTCAAGAAACTATATCCGATTCAGATTATCAAATATATCTCAATGATGCTAAAAATTTTGAGAATAGATTAGAATATTTTATTCATTATTGCAATAAAGACGTTGAAATTATGATTGACCCAATCGATAAAATTATCGAAGAAACATTTGTTTATAAAATTGACATGCTTCATAATCTTTCTTTATCATCGAATGCTTCAATGATTCGTTACGCTTTAGCATATAAAGACTTTAATCCTAATGAAAAATATCCTGAGGAAGAGATAGAATCAAGTTTTGAATTAACAAAAAAGTATTGGAAATATAAAATTGATTCATATAAGAAACAAGATGAAAAGGCGAAAAGAGATACTAAAAATAATGTTTCAACGGATGATTTTCAATACTATCACGATTTAATCCTTTCATCTAAATGCAAAATGTGTGGTAAAGCGTTTACATATGCAAATAAACCAACATTGGATAGAATCGATAATGAAAAACCACATACCAAAGAAAATTGTCAGTTAATGTGTTGTTATTGCAATGTCGTAAAATCAAATAAAGATGAAGATGTTCAACGTTTAAGAATCAATTTAAGAAATTATGCATTAAAAAATAATTTACCAATGACTTTAGATTCAGTTGAAGCTTATCACATTCTCCGTAATGGAATTACTGGTGGTTTATCAAATGTTCAACATAGAGTAAATCTTAAAGGAATCACGCACATTAATAAACTTTCATATAATCCAGAAACTAAAACTGTATCAAATGAGGACACCACCAACATTATGACTCATTTCGTTGGAGTTGACTTTAATTCATTATATCCTTCATCATTTTCATCTAATCCTCATGATTTCATTCAATATACTGACCATAAAATGTATATGCCGGGAAGATTGAATGGTGTTATCATTTGTGATACAGCAACAAAGAAAGCAAAAGCACTGGGAATTATTAGAAAGAAAAATACTTTATTCGTGGCTGAAGTAAAGGGTCACATTGATGAAAAATACATTAATGATTACATAAACTTTTTACCGATAATAAGAAACTTAGATATTATCACAGATGAAAAAACAATTGGCAGTTTTATGTATAATTACATGAAATCAAACAATTTACCGGTTGACCAGAAACAGAGAAAATTAACTCAGTTAGCATCAACACACAACCAATATCAACCATTTTCTTCTTATTATCTTTGGTATCTAATAGACAAATTTCATTTTATCATCGATGACATTCAATCAATTTTAACATTTACTAAAAACACTTGTTTTAATGAATTTGCGAACAAATTTATGAACGAAAGACAAAAGGCTGAATTAGAAGGAAATAAAGGAAAAAGTTTATTTTGCAAGATTTCACTTAATGGATCATATGGTTACGATGCAATGAATACACAAAATTACACAAAGACTAAAATAATGAATGCACAGAAGGCACGCGTTGCATGTATGGCAAATAAGTTTAAAAACATAAGAGAAATAGGTGAAGATACGTATCAAGTGATGCTCAAAGATAGATTTTATAGATGTGAAACATGTTTACAAGAGGCATTCTTTACTTTAGATAATGCTAAATACTGGTATTTGGTTTTCATTTATGATTTTATGTATAAATGCATGAATGTTAATCGTTTTCATTTCATTGAAGGTGATACTGATTCATCTTATTGGGCAATCGCTGGCGACCCAAATCTTCCTAACACTCAAGCATTTCAAGCAATTGTTACTGATAAACAATTTTATGATAAAAACATTTACAAATTCGCACCTTTTGATTTCTTTTGTTTTGATGAGAAATTTAAACCTAAATTAAAGAATAAAGCTGAAGAAAAAGCACATGAGAAGAAGTTATTGGGTTTAGCAATTGAGAAACAAGGTGATAACATGGTTGCTTTATGCCCCAAGTGTTATACATCATTCAACGGTTCAATTGATGGAAGTGATTTTAAAAAGATTGCACAAAAAATGAAAGGAGTTAGTTTACGACAAAATAAACAATTAACACCTAAAAATTATTTGGATATAATAAATGATAAAGTGATATTTGATGGTCAGAATATTAATTTACAACTTAAAAACGGGTCAATGACTCGCTTAACAATCGGTAAGACTGCATTAACAGGAGCACACACTAAGGCTGTATGTTGTGAAAATGGATGTTGTATGCCGTTTATTTAATGAAATGCCACAGAAGAGACAAAAGGAACCGTTGAATGATGGTTTTGATTCTTGATCAAAGAGGTGGGCACCCTTAAAACATTTATTTTATTTTTATATAAATGGATAACGTAGATTTAGAAAATTTAATTGATGATTTAGTACGTGATCAAAATTTTCTTAGTTATTATGATTTAAAAGCATATCTCCAAAAATATGATGAAAATATAACGGATGATGATATAATATTATTATTCATATTATGATAATGAATTTTTGAAATATCATGATGAAATAATTTCTAAAATTAAAGATAAAATTAAAAATAATGAATATACAAAGGAAAAAACTAAATCACAACTTAAACATTTGAAAGATTTCAAAAATGAAGTATTAACAGAAGAAGATATTGATGAATTATATAAATTATATAATCCTGAGCCACAAAAAACAAAGAAACAAAACGCCCGGGTCCTTCAGACCAAAAATGATGCACAAGCTTTAATTTATGATTCATTAGTTAAACCACATTCAGCCCAACTTTTAAATAAAGATCAACTTTTGGAATTCATCCTTCAACATAAACTCGAAGCGGGAAAGTATATCAAACCTTTATATACAGCATATTTAAAACAAATGAATAGAATACATCCAGAATTAATGAAGGAAGGAATGAATTCCAAAACTTCATCATCCAAAATCAAAGCGGATAAAATTAAACCACTTGCAACACCAATACCTCCAACGACTGTACCTGCAACACCAAAACCTCCAACGACTGTACCTGCAATACCAAAACCACCTCCTCAGTTAATCCTTCATCATTCACTTTATTATATCCATTTCAAACATTAAAGAAGCAAAAAGATTTTAAAAAGGGTTTCAAGATATTAAATAAACCAATTGACCCGAAAATTCAACCGTTAAAGGAAAAATTTGGTCGCCCTTCATTTGCACCATATCCATATTCATACGAAATCGATCATTTAGAATATTCAAAAGGAAACGTTACTTATTTATTTGCCATTAACATTAACACCAGATATTTATATTGCATTCCAGTGAAAGGGAAAACAGAACAGGAAACAAGAAGAGCTATTCAATACTTACTAGATCATGAAAGAGTAGATAATATCAGGGGTGATAGTGATAAAGGATTTCAGGCAACTATGACTCATTATTTCCCACAAATTAATTTTTACTTTTCATCCTCTCCATATACGTTTCATAATAAAATAGTTGATGCGGTAATGAGAACTCTTAGAGATGCGTTAGGGGTTAACGGTCAGATATACTGGGATGGAAATCATGACTCCATCATACAACAGTTAGTATATTATTATAATAATACATGGCATAGAACTATAAACATGAAACCGGTGGAAATGAAAAATGATATTTCAAAAGAATGGGAATATATTAGAAAGCAAATGGAAAGGTTGAATGATGTTAAACGTGAACAAATTAATTCGGGGCTCATGAATTTTAAACAAGGGGATAAAGTTTTGATTCATCTCGATTATGGAAAAACTGATAAATCAATGACAAAAAGAAGACGAAGATTTGACACAATAGCTGAATTTGTTAGATATATTAACGGCAATGCATTAGTTGAAGTTGACAATAAATTAATAGAAATTCCGATTTATTTTATTACTCCATTATATTTAAATAATATTTAATTTTTTTTATTTCGTAAGAAATGAGTGACAACGAAGCAGTCAAGAGTCCAGACGATGAATATAAAAAGAAACTAAACAGAATTAAATCAAAAATATGCTATTACAAAAAGAAGCCACAATGCGGTGAGGTTGAAAACGATAAAGAAATAATCGAAAAATTAGAAACTTACCGTTCAATCCTTAAACTAAGTGAAGCAAAAATAAAAGAATTTAATAGAATAAATAAATTGATTGGAAGAGATGAATTTAATAAAGATGAATTTTTAAACTCAATCCAAAATTAATTTTTATTTTTCTTTGACAACATCTCTCTTTCCATCATTACTGCATAACCACATTTTCTCAGTTTTAGTGGTTTGTTATTTTTAGCAAGTTCTCGCATCATTTTTATCGTTTCCTCCCTTGTTATGATTCGTGGTAAATTTTGAGCTTGCGGGGTATTCATTTATATAAAAATAAAATTTTGTTATCAGTTATTTTATCGTTAATGGTTTTCAGGTTATTCAATAATTAATTCAAATCATAACACCATGTTACCATGTGCTCCCAGGTCATTCAACTTCTCTGAAAAAATGAGACAACATGACATTTTGACAACAACATGGTATCATAAGACAAATTACGGAAAGTGAACTCAAACAAAAAGTGACACAATGCATTTGCCAACCAAATAACTTTACAAAGCAAAAACTTAAATTACTTGTCAAGCTTACTATTCTTATTTTAACAATTAAAAAATTAAATTTTATTTTTTATTTAAAAAAATCATCTTATATCATCTGATATATATATATAACAGCATTAATATTTCAATGATTCACAAATCAACTTTTTCATTATTTTAAATAATTATAGAATATATACCGACTTTTTGTACATAAATATTTTTAGATTCAATAATGATTTACGGTTTTTTTCAAAACTTATAATTTTCCAATGAGTGGTAGAATCTTCGATTTAATTGATTTAGAATGGTTAAATAAAAAAAAAAAAAAAAAAAAAAAAAAAAAAAAGTAGTGGGGCCTCCAGGCACTTCGTGCCCTCTAGCCCTGAAGATGTTTAGTATAACTTTGTCCGGACAAGTAAGGGTCTATCGTCGCTACAGGAAAAGTTACAGGCGTTCCAAGGAAGTATACTTTGAGAAGCCTTTTCCCCTTATAGAATGAGATAGGACGGTTATTTTACAAAACTGACAACACTTTGACCGAGTAGTTTTTTGTGCTGAACAAAAAGTGTCATATAAACATCTGTCAAAAGCCGCTTTTTAACTTCACTTAAAATGCCACGTAAGCTACGTAAGAATATACGTAAGAGGAAGAGAGCATTGAAACATCCAATAGTAAGACTGACACCACAACAACAGTTGCAACAACAAATGCTGAATGACCCCACTATGTTGCAACAAATGTCAAGCAATCCTATGCTTTTAAACCGAGTTGTTGGTGCACAGAGTGGAGGTTTAAGAGCGGCACTTTTAGCGAAAATGGCAGGCTATGGTGGAGCTGCAGACGGAACAGCCTATAACCCTCAAAGTCAAATGAATTTGAGTTCACTCAAAAATCAAATAACAGATGTCAAAAAGTCAAACATAGACATACAGAAGCAAATAAGTGAAAACGAAAAGAAACTAGAATATGACAGACACACAAAGAAACTCAATGAGTTAAACGTAGAGAAAAAGAAGAAAGAAGAACAACTGAAAGAACTAAGTACAGAGGAATATGCGAAAAAAGTGTCAGAAAAAGCAACAGAAGTAGCAAAAATGGAACAAGATGTCATAAATTTGAAAAACCATACTACTCAATATAAAATACTGAAAGATGAAGAGATAAAACAAAAAGCCCTGAAGACATATATGGATAGCGATGAGTATAAAAAGGAAGTTGAAGCAAATGTAAAGGCAGAAAAACTTTTACAGTTGCAAAACCAAACCGTACAGTATGAAAACTTAGCACAAGAAAGTAAAAATAACGACGCGGCTATGCAAAAGGCAATGAAAAGCGCAGAGTATATAAAAGCTAACAATGACTGGTTAGATGCCCAAGCCAACGCTAAAGCAGCCCAACTCATAGGGTCAATAAGGACAAAAATACAAGCGGATGAAGACAGTTCAAATGAAGCTTTAACAAATGCTGACTTTAAGAACGCCTTCGAAGCTCTTCATAGTAAGGTGAAACAAGTGAACGACTTCTCATCTGGAAAGAAACTGAAGTCTGAAGGTTTCGACAAAGAGTTAAAAGAAGTAGCACAAAATATGACGAAAATAACAGACGCAGCAACGAGACAGGCAGTTCAAAGTGCCTATGACGCCGTTAGAGCAACTGTTGTGAAAAGTCAAGAAAAAGAGTTACAACAGACCAAAACAGACCTAGTAAATGCTTTCTTAAGAACGAAAAGTCAGGTAGGACATTACGCTGCAGATGGAACATATGTGCCAGCTGGTGGAATTTATATACCACCAAACCCTCCAAGAGAAGCACCTGCACCAGGACTACCTAAAACATTTACATCGTCACATGGACACAGACACAGGCATGCACAACAACCACCTCCACAACCAGCACAGCAACCAACAGTTCAAAACCCTGCACAACAACCAACAGTTCAAAACCCTGCACAACAACAACCACAAACAGAGCAAGGACATAAAAGAA